TGCGGTCATTGGAAGCCCGCCCCTCAGCGGGGCGGGCTTGCAATTATCGCAAGTACGATCTGCCTGTCCAGGATAGGCAGATCGTAAGTTTTTTAAATTACCTTACAACCATCGCAAGACAAAAGTCTTGCGATGGTTGTAAGGTCTGTGGCCAGCTTAATGGAAAGCACGGCCCTGCTTTAAATGAAGATTTATATTGGTTTCACCTTATACATATACATTATACACATCGTGCAGCATCTGGCAGCACACGCTACACTAAATTTGATTATAATTTGAGCAAAAATGTGCATATATTCAAATGACTAAGGCTGGGTTCACACCTAGGCGTATTGTATACGCGCGTTTTTACCGCGATTCGCGGTAACAAAAACGTGCGACAAACGCGCGTTTCCGAGGGCTACTTGGCTGTATCCCCATGGAAACGCGAGACCAAAACGCCCCAAAGCAGTACATGTACTTCTTTGGGCGTAGGCCATTTTGTATCGCGTTCGGACGGGCGGAAATACGGCAAGGTGTGAACCAGACCCATTGAATACAATGGGATTTAGATGTTTGAGCGTTTTGTAGAGCGTTCGTTGAGCGTTGAACGCGCTACAAAACGTTCAGGTGTGAACCAGGCCTAAAGAAGAACTACTGCCATTTCATTATGGATACTGTATCTTGGGAACATGGCAAAAGTTACTGTTTCAAGTGTTTGCGACAGTCTAAGGAGTCATTCACATGGGCATGCACATCTGTACAGCGTGCCTGCCCATGCAGAGACCTACTCCTGGGAGGGACAGGTGCAGAGTGTAATTGCATGTAATCGCCTGTATATCACTATGGAAGGATGTGGCTGCACTCGGCTACACGCAGAACAAAACCTGCACATCCATGCAGACCCGGGTGGCAGCACTTGGATGCAGACCGTCTGTGCACAATTACACACTGAACCTGTCTTTTCCAGGATAAGGTCTCTACATGGTGCGGGCACGCCATACATATTATAGCCCTAATATAGCAAATAAAAGAAGGAGGTTAATACAACAATACAGTTTTATAGCCCAAATCCAGCCAAAACCTCTTTTCCCCATAGAGTGGTTAAGGGTCCCTTCTCTTGCATCATTTTATACTGTACATAAAAACATTTCCAACAGCATGTCTCCTGTTGTGCAGCCAAAAAAGTTGTTCCCACACAACCAATTAAACATTGTGCCCAACGCATGGGCAATGGTGTTATATACTATGCCAATTAGAATCTTATTTGTCGCCATTGCACTATTTAAAAAGTTATTTTATAGGCTAAAATGTGGTCTGCGCATCTACAAATTTGCACCCTCATACATGTTCCCATGTCCCACTGAACCAATTATGAAATATTGTGCTCATTGCAAGCGCAATGATGTTGTATACTGTGCCCAAACATTCACAGTGCCTCCCCCTCCTCTCAGCGCTTCCACCATTTGAAACTCAGATCAATATGACACCAAGATGCCACATGAGCAACTCACGCTTGAGATCTCACTCCCATATTGTGAATTTTGAAATATGGCGGTGAGATCCTGTGCATCTGAAGTAGTGGCAGTACACTACTCCGCATGCCTGGGATCTCGCTGTCATAGTGTGCTTTTAGAAATATAGCTACAAGATCCCATGCATACGTGGCAGTACACTACCGTGCATACGTGGGATCGTCTCAAAACTGTCTCTAAACTGTTGCAAGCTTGCTGTGAACCTTATAGAGGTTACCTCTAAGTCTACAGGTTAAACATGTGGGAGGTTTTAGCTGGTTGGGGGTTTGCGGTGCTGGTATTTGTTGTTGCATAGAGGGTTACACTGTATTTGCTGTGAATTTTAATCAAGTCTGAACTAGAGATGCACCGAAAATTTCGGACGCGAATGGCACTTTTGGCAAAATGCTGCAAGTGCCATGACGGCCAGAACTGCGACTGAAAGTTCAGTGCATCCTAGCTTCTCCCCTCCCCGCTGGGTGACGGTCTGTGTGCCTTTCCGATGCACTGGCCGACACCCAGCGGGGAGGAGAGAAGATTTCAACATGCCGAGGGGTAGGGGAGGAGAGCGCTGTCAGCATTGCAGGAGGCCGAGCTCACCTCCCGGTTTGGCCTCATGTATTAGGATGGAGAGCGGTGATCGGAGAGCTCTGTGATGTCACAGGAGGCAAAGCTCAGTAGAAACATATAGCGATTAGCTGATCACTGAATGTTTGTAAATAACTGGACATAGTATGTACCAGTTATGAATGAATAGGAAGTGATCTACACCACTTCATATTCATTCATGATTGTGTACATAGAAACTCATACTATATCCACGAGTTATGAATGAACAGGAACACTCAGTATAGAGGATTCCGGTTATTTTTTAACAGGGGCTGCTAAAGAGAGATTTAGGACTCTGCGTCTCTGTGTCCTCCATCTCTTTTTCTAATTTAAAATGGAAATATAAGAGGTCTGTTTAGACTCCCTGATATTTCCCTAGAGTCCCCAGCTGTAAAGTAAAGAAAAGTAAAATAAATAAAAAATAATTTTGAAAATGTTAAAAAGGTTGGGGAAAAAAAACAAGGTCCTTTTCGGTTTTGGCCGGACAAATTTTTTTAGTTTCGGTTTCAAAACTGCATTTCAGTGCATCCCTAGTCTGAAGTATTGGAATTCTCTGGATAGTGCTGTCTGTTCGTATATTATTAGTAAATATTGTTTACTATTTAGATCTTATTAAAGCTGTGTATCCAGAACTTACAGATATACACAGCCAACCTTCTAATTGGCTTTGTCTATGTTCTAAATAACACCCACAAATCAATTATGCCAAAAATTCATAATAAAATGCCTCTTGACCATTTCCCTGGAGATATTGTACCTTACAATTCCCCTAACAATCTTGAAGACTATACTGAATATCCAGTTGTTTTTTTAAATTCATTAGAATTTCCCAGAATACCCTGCCATGTATTAGATCTAAAAGTTGGTGCACCTGTTATGCTTTAAGGAATTTCAAACCTCCAAGACTGTGTAATGGTGCCGGACTTCAAATCACAAGCTTACGCCCAATATTATAATATATATATATATATATATATGCATCTATACCTGGAGGTGAATATCATGGAGATACTATTCTGCTTCCAAGGATCCCTTTAACTCCAGCAGATTTTGATATATAATTTAAAAGATTGCAGTCTCCTCTGAGATTATGTTTTAGAGTGACTATTACCAAAGCTCAAAGCCAAACTTTGCATGTTGCTGGGATCCAACTACAATCACCATGATTTTCTCACAGACAATTATATGTTGCTCTTTCTTGAGTTGGCGATCTAATCAATGTCTATATTTTTACAAAACCGGATAAACTTTACAACAAATGTAGTTTATACTTTTAATATACCTGTTCAACGAATTGGCACACTTTTGCTAGTATTGAAAAACACTTTTAACAGCATATATCCCTCATGTCTAATGTTGTGTGTAGAGAAAACTTGAAATGGAACGGTCTGTGCCCCTGTGCTGTGCTTTTAACTCTCATCTCCTGTCTCATTGAGAGTGAGTCAGGGAGACAGAGAATGGAAAATCTATTGACTACGGACCAGCCAAAAGCCGTAAATTTTCTCAGTAGAGTTAAGATGTCCATTCTCCTAGGACACTTGCAGAAAATTGAGGCATGCTTGCAGTGGGAGAGGTTATACCAGGCGGGTCACTTTATTTTGTTTGTCAGTCCCTGAATCATGTGTCCCTAAATGAAGAAGAGAGAACACACTTTTTTTCAGTAGAGAAGGAAGAATTTATAACCTTTCTGGGTTTGTTATTAATATGTGTGCCTTCCTGTACCAGTAATCTCAGTTCCCATATTTATTTTCCTGGTGTCACCTTATCCTGGTGTGAAGAAAAAAATGAACACACAGCGACAATAATCTTATGAAATTTATAACCCTTCCCCACTCTATCAATAATTAAAAAAAAATTGGCTGGGGTTGGGCTTTAAAGATCCCCGATATCTTTGGAAGCATTTACAGTGGTAAGTTAAGCTGGAAAGTTGCAAGAAGCTTACAGATAGAAACTGACTGTTAAAGATTAATTACGGTTTAATGTGCTTGATTTGTGTAAGAACTAAGGCAATGATGAAATCTGACCTTACAGTCTTACACAGAGGAAAGTTGCATTGCCTGCTGGCACCTGAATTTATATGACCAGGGCCGGCGTTACCATATAGGTAGGTCAAGCAGCTGCTTGACAGAGCCAGCTGTGGGGGTCGTAAAAATGTGACTGGCCGCAAGATAGCCGCGGCGGCTCTGATCACACCTGTCAGCGCTCCCTCTCTCTCCTGCCGGCCGATAAAAAATTAAATAAAAAAATTATAAAAATAAACATTTATGAAAAAATAAGTAAAAAACATTAAAATGATAAAAAGTAAAAGATAGTAAGATTTAAAAAATTAAGAAAATTAACAAATAATTAGAAAACATTATAACAAATAAAGTGAAAGAGAATCAGATAAATAAAAATGCTCTTTCGCGTGTGTAGGCAAAAATCTTTGCACCGGCCCTGTATATGACAGCAAAGAACAAATAATGAATCTTAAGAAACATTGTGCAAACTGTTCAATAGCACTTTCAAAACCAAAAATAATAATAAATAAAAAGGTTAAAACTTTATTGCTTCCTGCCATATTATTGCTTAATGTGACATCTCATTCCTCTTGGAAGCTCTCTGCTTCATGGTGTGCACGTTATATCCTGTTCAGCACTGACATTAGTATTGATATTGTGTTCAGAACTTTCCCTATGTAATATCCTACTTATGATGTGCCAAGTAGCACAGTCAGTCGGAAACACATGTATTAAACGCGATAACCTCACCGAGCAGGAAGCACATGCTCAACTGCGTCGCAAAGCAAAAGGGTGTGTGAGTCAATGTCAGCCGCAACCACTGGACAGGTAAACCGATAACTTGGTAACTTGTCTGTTCAGTGACAATTAAATGATTAAATATCAGCTCATATCTTACTCTGTCTGCTACGGGTGGAGGATCCAGCAGAGCTAGGTCGGCTGGTTTGTTGCGGTCCAGACTGGGAAAACTGAGGAGCAATAGTCGGAGTCTTAGCTTTACGGGGGCTGACACTCGGAACTTCAGGACTGCGTGGCATCCAGGATCTAATTCAGAAGGGGGAAAATGGAAATAGACACAAAAGCAAAATAGTGTTAATATGATAGCATTGAGATAATTAGGCACAAAATAAACAACTGACCCGACCTTGCTGTTATAGGTGAACCAATCTACATCTAACCGGAAAGATTTTCCCCCCCAAAACTCTCTTCTGAAGAATGTAAATGCAGTCTCTTGTCCTACTATAGAATGTATTTATATAGGATGCCTCCAACATTTTATATGCTGTGAAACACATAAAAGCACAAAGAACTGTGATGTAGACTATATAAGATTGGGGAGGGGATCTTGTTTTATACACGTTTAACTTGCACCAACTTATTACATGCCAGCTTGGCTAAAATCGTAGAAAACGGGAGATCACCAGTCAAAAGCATTGGACGCTGGCTTATTTATTGAAGAAAAATGTCACAAGCGTCATTTAGCCAACGTTTCGGGACCACACAGGGTCTCTTCTTCAGGACGACATAATGCCATCAAAACACGGCGCCATCCGTGCAATCACTACGAGCGCCACGATCATTAATCAAGGTTCAATCGCTGTAAGGAGTGCAAGTGACAATACAGTTTGGCTAAAATGACACCATGCAGCTGGAGTCACCCGAAAATAATCAAGAGGCTGGAGTGTGGGGTCAAGTCTGAGGGGTTGCCATGCAGTGTTGTATCATATTTACAGATTTGGCATATTTTGATTTTTGCCGGCAGGCACTTTACAGGTTATCTTTTAAGTCTTGCTACAAATCTGACCTGTGCTGGCAAACAAAAGTTAATGAGCGTATGGAAGGTCTCATTATTCATTTCCAAAGGGTGTCAGTAAGGTCAAAATCACAGATTCAATTAGTTTCTATCAAAGGTTATAACAATGGTTTAATATATGCCAAATTTTAAATGAATGCACCTTTTTGATAAGCACCCTTGGCTTGTTTAATAATAAAGGTAAATGAGGTATGTGTTTAGTTATGTTAGTAAACCAATATTGTTCTTACACTCTGTTAGATATTTCTGTAGGAGAATATTCCCACAGGGAATATTGGGTTACTGCACACTGAAAGCACACAACAAGTGCTGAAATGGCTGTCGTTATGTACCAATTGTGAAGAATTTACCTATTACTGTGTCCATTATTTTTCTCCATACCCAAATCCAGCATCTGAGGAGAAGGAGGAGTTACAGGTCCTCTTTGATCAGACCGACTTGTTGGTGAAAAGACCTGAGATGACTCTGTATCTACAGCTGTGAGGGGGATAGAAGGAAAAAGTTTGTAATTATTCAAATAATAATGATAGAAATTATATATATATATATATATATATATATATAAAAATGTCACCAGTCAGCATGACCAGACTATAGCCTTGCAATTTATGATAAAATTGTTTTGCGACATATAGAGCTTTCTTTTGGAGGTATATAATCACCATGGAGGGGGTTATTTTTTACTATATAATGAAAAAAGTACAGTAAATTTAGAAAAAAATATTACTCTCACTCCGACATTCGCGGTGATATGTAACATGTGCGGCACAATCGTCGTTTATGCTCGTAGGCGCACCAGACGCATGTTTGCATGTGTATGTGGGGGGCGGGGGACTTTAAAAAAACAAATAGTTTTTTTTTGCTTAACTTTATTGCTATCACATGGGGGGGCTCTCCAAGACCCCTAATGCCACATAGGGACCACCAAATAAGCTGATGAAGCAGAGATCTGCTTCACCAGCTTCTGAAGCTGGAGAGTGACAGCAGAATGCAGAAATGATGCACTATACATCACTTCCTGCATTCGGGGACTGCAGAGGAGATAAGAGGGACATGTGTAACAATCTACCTATTAAACTCCTGTCACAAAGCAGCCGTGCCAGTCCTGGCCGCAGCGGATCTCGGGACTGGCAACGGCAGTGACAGCTGCTAATAAAAGCGATCGGACGTCTCTAGAGACGCAGATCGATTGAATGTAAAGCTCCTGGCAGGCCGTTTAATTGCAACAGCCGGCCGGAAAGCTACATCCAATTCAAGCAGATCCACATCCCATTCAAGAAGAGTTTTCTACCACAAGCATTGGAACACGGAATCCACATACCTCACCCCACGCCGATGACTCCACATGACTCCCTTTATGGTTTGCACTGTAAAAACATCTTTTTTTCCCATTTACAAATAACATTGCCATGCTTTGTACCATAAACAGATCAGCGCGGTACAAAGTCAGGATCCAGGAGAGTAGTCGAGAGGCGGGCAGAGGTCTTGACACCAATGGGCAGCAAGGTACAAAATAGGCAGGCAGAAGAATAGTCAGGAAACAGACATAAGTCACGGTGTAAATCCAGCAAACGACACATAGGTAGGGTCACAAAGGAAACTAACCCAAATCAACGGGCTCAGAGCACAGGAAGTGTCTGGTATTTAAAGCTTGAGTTAATTGAGGCATTAGCGGCATAGTGGTTAGCACTTCTGCCTTGCAGCACTGGGGGTCCCCGGTTTGAATCCCGGCCAGGGTCACTATCTGCATAAGAGTTCTACCTGTGCTTGCGTGGGTTTCCTCCGGGTACTCCTGTTTCCTCCCACACTCCAAAGACATGCTGGTAGGTTAATTGGCTTCTCTCTAAGGTGGCCCTCTATGTATGCATGTGAGATAGGTACCTTAGATTATAAGCTCATTGAGGGTAGGGACTGATGTAAATGTGCAACTATGTAAAGTGCTGCGTAAATTGTCGGCGCTATATAAATACCTGTAATAAATAATAAATCGCAGATTTTCTACAGCTGGTTGGCAGTTGAAGCCACCAAAGTGTCCATAAGGAGAGTTACTAAGTACAAAAAGCTGTCAGCAGAAACCAAGGCCTTCAAGTGGCTGAATATCCTACTTATGATGTGCCAAGTAGCACAGTCAGTCGGAAACACATGTATTAAACATGATAACCTCACTGAGCAGGAAGCACATGCTCAACTGCGTCGCAAAGCAACAGGGTGTGTGAGTCAATGTCAGCCGCAACCATTGGACAGGTAAACTGATAACTTGCACAGTCTGTGCACTTCTGTGCCAGAGACCCAGGTTCAATCCCCGAACAGGTGCTGATCAGACAGGCGTGACAACCTCTAGCATGCATGTTCCAAAGGTAGCCACTGCACTCTGTGAAGTAAATGCCTGGGTGCTCATCCACAATGAAATATACATACAGATCCAAAGTAGATATAGAGGCATTCACGGAAGTGGAGATAAGTCATAGCAACAGCATTTTATTGACCATAAAACGCTGTTGCTTTGACCTATCACGCTGCAAGGCCAGCGAGTGCCTCTATACCTACTTTGGAAAGATATACTGTACTTATTTTTCTATGCATTTTACTTTTTTTCCCTTTGCTACAATTACAAGGAGGCTGATAGGAATTTTCATTTTCTAAACAGCAAAAGTACTTCAAAAGTCCTCACTCACTTGTGTACTTATAGGCTAGTGTTTCTTGAACTATGGGTTGGGCCTCCAATTGGGTTACGGATGTGTTTGTAATAGGTTGCTACTTGAATATTTAGCCTAGTTTGTTCAAGCGCTAAAATCAGTGCTGAGTCATATAAACACACTGACTATGACTGAAAGCACAGATCATATATATAGGAAACAAGCACGTGTGAGGTCACATGCAGAGGGTATAAAGCCAGCCATGTACCGGTAGATTTTCATACAAACATTGATAAGAAGTTGTCAGGTCATTCGATAATGCCTTTAGAGACCTGACAAATGCCGTGCGAAATTATGTTTGATTTTAGAAACAAATGGAATTTATCAAACGAACATCTCATTTACTGTTAGAATTCTGTTTGGCAAAAAAATTAAATCCTGCGCCTTCGATTTTTTAGTCACTGTGTTGGAAAATCTTTGTCAATTTGACTCCATTAACTATTAGAAAATCGAATGAACAATCCAAAAAGGATTTTTTTAACACAATGGTTAAGGATTTTCAGGTCCCACCCTTGGCATTGGGGACAGTGAACAGGTTGGAGTAAAAGACCTGGAAAATTTCTGCCTCTGGAACAAGGACTTTGCCCCCTAAGAAAGGAGCTAACCTAGGAAAGTGAAGAGATCCACCCACCTTTGTAAGAGTGAGGGTGCCCCTTCATTGCAAAGAGAGCTTACTTCCTGCCTTAGTGGCCTTGAGATGGAGCTGCATACCACGTTTGGGTTTGGAATCTGCCTATGAAGGATGCAAGGAACTTTTCTTATGGGGCGGAGCAAAAGATTTAGCTACCAAAATCTTAGGCTTATTCTGAAGCAAGAAGGTACTCTTTCCACCCATTGAATTTCCTAATATAAATATCCAATGATATGTCAAAAAGATGTCCTCCAGCAAAGGGCATGCACTCAAGGCATTACTTGCAGGGGAGCTTTGCCAACAAATACTTCAGCCAAAGGATCTATTGCATGTGGACAGACAGACGTCTCACCCCACATATCTCGAGTAGAGTAATCGTCAGGCTGTTCAAGCAGTAGCGCAGGACCACAGGAAAATGCTCCAGCTGTATCAGAACCTCAGGGTCAGTCAAAATAGAACCAGGGTTGCTGGCCATGGCCTTGGAGTAGAACAAGGTCTGACACACTGCCATAGAGGCATCTACAGGTTACATGACAGTGCCTGCAAGGGCAAATAACACCTTAAAGAGGGTTTCTAACCTCTTCCCGTGTAGCTGTTGAAAACAGGTACATCCTCTACACTCACGGACTGTAAGAGTCTTGTACAAACAAGAGATGGCAAGGTAGGAACTCCTTAGCACTTTTTAGTTCTTTGACAGATGTGTGGTTAAATTAACTCACAAAAGAGGTGCTTGCAGTTGCGGCAGATGAGAGAAAATAGGTGCACTTTCCCTATAATAATGCACAACCAAATCTGCTGTTAGGGTCACAAAACAGACCGAAAATGCTAATATTTGTGCACACAAATAAATGTCTCCCTTTGTTAAGACTTTTGAAAATGAATTACTTAACAGTACAAGCATCTAGAGAGGCCAGGGATGGCTTGTTTTAAAGCTCCTTTACTACTTTTTTAAAGACACCCTGTCACCAGACCATTCATTTCAACAACAATCTTCCCACAAAATTACAAATGCATTTAGCATATTGTAAACATGTTATTCACCTGTAAAAGCAACTCTTGTGTGGACAGCCAAAAGCCCCCAAAAGTGCTGCTGGGCGCCACCAGCTTGGATATTATGCCAGCAGCTCCAGCAGGCTTAGAGCTGTCACTCATGTGAAACTCTATTGTATGACCCTTAGCTCCTCTCCCAGCAGCTACATAATAGTCTGTGTAGGAGGTGAGGGAGGGGTGGAGATGCTGGGCCAACACAGGCAGTAATTAGAAACTTCTAGAAGTAGAGAGGGCAATTAAGTGCAGGGAAGGAGAGGGGCTGAGCTAGGTAATTTACTTTCCTGGAGTAATCAAATCTTCAAGTTTAAAAGGCGCATGTTGATGGGGACAACATGTTCCACAATGCAAATCCAATGGCGATCACAATCAAAGACAACCTGCTGACACAATTCACCAAGGCTGTGTGTATGATTTTCCCCATGCTGGACTCCAGACGCAAATGACATATTATTATACAGGATTTATATAGCGCCAACAGTTTGCGCAGCGCTTTACAATATAGGGCAGACATTACAATCACAATACAATTTAAGACAAGATGGTAAGGAGGGCCCTGCCCCTGAGGGCTTACAATCTAAAAGGGAGGGGGAAGTGATACATGAGGAGGGAGCTTGCGTGGGGATGAATTGTTTGAGAACGTGATGGTTGAGCGGTTAGGTTGAGGTGGGATAGGCTTCACTGAAGAGATGAGTCTTTAGGGATCGCCTAAAGGCAGTCAGAGTGGGCGACAGACGGACAGGTTGGGGTAAAGTATTCCAGAGGATGGGAGAGACTCTAGAGAAGTCCTGGAGGCGAGCATGGGAGGAGTTGACAAGGGAGCTGGAAAGTAGGAGGTCTTGGGACGAGCAGCGCCGACGGTTAGGGTGATACTTTGAGAACAGGTTTGAGATATATCCGGGGGCAGAGTTGTGGACGGCTTTGTAACTGATTGTTAATATTTTGAATTTTATCCTTTGGGCTATTGGAAGCCAGTGCAGGGATCGGCAGAGGGGGGTTGCAGACACTGAGCGGTTGGTTAGGTGGATGAGTCTAGCAGCTGCATTCATGAGCTCTGCTGGAATGTAAATAGTAGTGTCGGCTAACCTGGCTTATGGTCAGTGACGTCACCCAGGATCCCTGCTGGCTTGTTTACAAAGTGAGGCAGCAGTCGTGAAGTCATTCATTTAGTGGCAGTAGTAATACCTCCACTAATTTAACACTGCTGGATTACTTTGAGCTGAAACAGCCAGAGGTTCAGATGGGTAAACTGGTCAAATCTGGCCATTTAGTTGCCCCTTCTGCGAACCTTTTGTTCTACTTGAACCCGAAGCTTATCCCTATTTACTACTAAATATCATCTCATGTCTACAATATCAATATTTTTCTCAGGTCTTTTTTGTTTATTGGAAATAAGCATTGCATTAAAAAAAATCTTGCATATTGTGTTGTCAGATGATGCTGGTAGTTTGCAATAATAAAAACAGCAAAGAAGAGTATCTATGCACAGCTAGTTTCCTGTAAAAGATACAGGAAAATAGTCTGATTTCCTGGTTGGTCTACAGAAGATTTTGGACACAGTAAAGTTCTTTGAACATCTGAACATGTGCTTCCCTGACTCCAGGGTCACATAGCGGACACAGCCAGCGATGCCTGCAATAACGAACAAGTCACAAACAAAAACAGAACAGTGACATGAGCCTCCAAGCAGCTGTTTAACATCGACCAATTTTGTCCTTGGTGGAATGGTAAACAATGACGGAGAATGTTCACATTTTATCACTTGATTCTTTTATCATGGTGGCAAGGGTTTTTCATTTTTGTATATGTTGTTCCTTCCTTCCTAAATTAAAGATGTCAATGTTTGAGTGACAAGGCACAAAGCAGATTTTTCAAGAAATGCAGACTAATCAATACAAAAGGATACAGCTGCTAGTGCAACCAATCATACTAGTTTGTAATTTAAATGAAGAAAAAAAAGACAGGACAGAAAAGTAGTCTGATAGAAAATCATGGGAAATGCTACTTACATTTATAATAAGTCTCATTATAAATGAGCTGTTCTTATGTTTTACCAATTCAGAAATAAGCAGATTTGCATTTGGAGGTCTACAAGGGTTAAACAAAAGAAAAAACATTTCCAGCTAACGTGAAGGCTCAACATACTTTGTTATCAGAATTACTTACACATTGATGTCACACTGTAATCAGCAGTAGTGGGGCGGCTACCACATCGTGTAGGGGGTCTTGATGTGGAATTTAAAGATGCTTTCTGAATTATAAAGTTGTTTGATGAAATTAAAGGTGAGACTATGTTCTCTGACCTAAAAAGGGAATGGCAAAAATGAATAAATATATGCAGTAAACAGCTATCATAGAAAGATGAAAACCCCAATAATAAGTATGTGGAGGTTCTTAGGGTTGCCAGGTCATGGTATACCAAGTGGTAGTTAGTCACATTCAACTAACTGGTTCTTTAATGTTCATGTTCCTTCTTCTGGTGCATTTTCCTGACACTAATTAGAACTGAAGAAGTGGCTTGGATAATCTATGAAACATCTTCAACATTACAGAACAAGTCCAGTTGAATGTGGCTAACTACCACTAGATATCCCAAAAATAAGATTTAAAAAAAGTGCATAGTGCATTACCTGTCTGCTAAGCTCATGCTTTTAAGTCATTTAATTTAGTAAGTATGCAGCAATATCAGAGAGAAGGCAACATTTCCAATCTGTGTAGTTCTTCTAGGCCAGAACTCAAAGTATTGATGTTATTGGACCATTATGGCAGCTAAGCAACTAGCATCTTCACAAGAAGGTCAGCGATGGCAGCCTGCGTACTGCTCTTGTGGCAGGTTACTTCAAATGCATGCAACATGTTAGATTGCTAATAATTAAAAGCATTTTTTTAGAAAATGGGATAAACATGGCCAGAATGCACGCTCACTGAGCATGTCACAGGGGACCAGGCAATTGGACAGTGCAGGCTCAGGCTGCTGTCAAACCTGCTAGGAGGAGGGAGGAGCAGGGGAGTAGCCTGCTCCTATAGGCTTCTTATACTCTATGTACGTGTGCACGGACACTCTGCTGTAGTCCCAGCCAGGAGCGCTCACGCAGAGGTGGCTCCATGGAATTCTGCCAGAGGATGGAGCCACCCTAAAGCAAAAACTTTTGCAGGGTCCCTTTTTGACAGATGAAATACAACATACCTAAAGTCTCTGCAAGAAAAAGACACAGCAAACCTGGTAAGAACTGAGATTTGCGACACAACAGGCATTTTGCATTAAAGGGTTTAATAATGCTTTAATTTGCCCAGGTAACTAAAACATGATTGGCTGCTAAAGCCATCCAGTATACTTCTGCGTCTGTTTTCATGCAATAGCACCAGAGTGGTTATATTTAAATTTTTTGGGATTAGCATCGGTCACTTAGACACTGTAACACATTGATTGCTGTCTGCAGACAGTGGCATAGAAAATACAATGTACATATAAGGATGTCAAATTAACATAACGAAGGAATATATTAGCACATTACATCAAATATAAAAGGGGTACAAACTCCAAATAGAGCCATTCTAGAAGATACAGAAGGAAAGGAGGGCACAGCCAAGACAAACCATTATCTAATAGGTGTTGAAGCAAAAGACATAGTAGATAGGAGGATGGCAGAGGCGGGGGATAAAATATATCTAAGTCATAACTTTTTGTTTCACTTTGAATAGTGTGGGAATAGTTTAAACCTTTGTCAGTGTGTTTGCCATTTATGTCCCATTGAGGAGATGTCCCTTCAGTTCCTGTCCTGTAAACACAACTGGTGAAGTGGGAGAATTTTCTCAAAGTTAGGGAAATCACCTCTCTGACAATTAGCACTGGAACAAGTGCCTCCATTGAAATATTTCCAGATTATGGTAGCAAATCAAAATTGTGGATTTTCTCTTACTTTCTTTACTGGTGACAGAGAGTAAATCTCCCTAGCGTGGACACAGACTACAAACAACCTGACAGGGGTCCTAATACTTCTACACGCTATCCAAAACTAAAAAAAAAAAAGATATCTATAATCTGCTTTAGATGCCCTTTCAAGATACACTGCTAAATTACCCATTCAGGGCACAGTGAAATTGTCTTTGCAGAGAGATCCCCCTGAGCCACTAATACTCACTTTGCCTGCATTGTAACCTTCTCTTAAGTGACAGTGCTTAGATTTATCAATCTAGCAGCCAATCGCTAGGCATAAGCATTGTTATGTGAAAAGGGGAATGACATCACCAATCCCCCCTAATGTCCATTTTAGTGCTGGGAAGCATTTTTAAGGTGAGGATTAGGGGGCTCCCGTTCAATGACACAGTCACTTTGACCTGAATGGGCAAGGTAACAGTGCATCCTTACTGAAAACAGCTTACTCAGCAGCAACTGATATGTGAAGATAGGAAAATGAATACACAATTCGAAAAAGGTACATACATTGTATACACAGCCCGATGACTGTTGGGGGTTACCGGTCTTTGCAATGGTTCATCAACACTCTGTAGTAGACCAGAAAACATTCTCTTTTTCACTTTAAGAGTATGAGTCATGATCTGCAATGTGAAATAAAATGAATGCACTATTACTCTCTACTCATGTACATAACTAAGCACTGGTAGCAAAATACAAAATACAGACAACTGTTCTCGGTAATTAGTATCGAAGATATCTTCATTCAGTCACTCAGCCTATTTAAATAGAGAAAAGTTGGCACTCCGATGTTTCGTATCATTGCAGGCACCACACTGAACATGGACCAGAGAAAGCAAAGAGTTGTCTGAACAGATTCAAAATAAAATTATAGACCATCATGCTAAATATAAAGCCTACAGGGCCATCCCCAAGCAGTTTGATGTTCCTCTGACTACAGGATCAAATATTAAGTTTAAAAGGTCCATAGGAGTGTAGCCAACCTTCCTGCACATGGTGACAAGAGGAAAATCAACCCCAGATTGAACAGAAGGCTAGTGTAAATGGTAACAAACAGCCAAGGAAAACATCCAAATGAGATACGAGCTGAACTCTAAGGTCAAGGTACATCAGTTTCTGACTTTTTGAGTGACAGTGGACTAAAAGGAAGAATGCACTGTTGGAAGAAAAACATAAAAAAGACAGACTGGAATTTGCTATAATGCACATTGACAAGCCACAATACTTCTTGGAGAATGTCTAAGACAAAACTGAAGCTATTTGCCAAATTACACCAGGAAATGGTACTTCCAGGAATCTTCCAGGACAGCTACTTGAGAGAAGATTGGCTCCACCTTCAACAGGTAAACACAAGCAGAAAAGCAATTAAGGTCCTTCCCTCCCCCTCAGTTATCCTAAGAGGAAGAACCATTACTTCCGTGCACAAGGTGGAAAATCCAGTTACCAAAACACCAGCACACAAAAAAAAAAGACTGTGTGGGAATATGGATGCTGTCCTGGAAGATTCCTGGAAATACCATTACTAGTAAGACAAAATGTGTTTTTACCATGATCCTCTTCCAGGACAGCTACCTGAGAGGAAAAACAAGGAACTATTATACCTTAGGAAGGGACAATAGCCTGTAGAACCCTTCTTACAAAAGCCAAATCTTGACTAAATTAAGGTTCTTCTTGGCAATGTTTCAGAAAAGCACAGTTTGTAGACCATACTGCTGCTCTAGATATTTTTTTCCCAAGAAGCTCCTGTTGTCTCCACCCAAGACGCTGCCATGGATCTTCTAGAATGAGCTTTCACTTTAGCTGGCGGCTGATGACCCATGCTCTTGTATGCAGAGATAATTGCTTACCTGGATCCATCTAGCTATTGAACTATTAGAAGTCTTAAGTGCTTTGTTTGGACCACTAAATAATACTAGAACGTGACTAGACAATCTAAAACTTTTAATACAGTAAATTCCAACTACCTCAAGAGACGTCCTTTGGGTTTTTGTTGAGCTACAAAACTTGGCGTACCACCTACTGTAACGTATGGTAGTCAGAAACAACCTTGGAGAGATACAAAAGATCAGGCCTAATAAATCACCCGATCATCTAAGATGGTCAAAAAGGCTCTTTACAAAACAGAACTTGCAGGTCTCTTTTCCTTCTAGCTGTGGCAATTGCCAGGCGAAAGGCCAATTTAAGGGTGACAAATCTTTAGGAACTCTTGCAGATAGGCCTTAAAACATTCACTTTCTCTGAACAACCTTTGTCTCTGAGAATTTTCTCTCAGCCCTCAGGCTGTCACGTGGAAGAGTCGAGGGTTCGCATGGACCACCATGCCCTGAGAGAGATGATCCGGTTGGATCGGAAGGACCCATGGAGGGGAAATTGACAGACAAGAGAGTGTTGAAAATCAGCTCCTCCTTGGCCACAATGGAGCTACTAGAATGCTCTGGGCACCGCCTTGAATAGTTTGACCACTATTGGGAGAATAGAAAAGGGTGGAAAGACAAACCCTAGGTTGAAGTCCCATACTTCAGAAAGGGCATGAGTCCGTAGAGCCGTGGAGCAACAAAAGAAATATGACAATGTGCCTCCTAAATGGTCAGAAACTCAATTAAACTGATATGCATCCTTTTGAACATCTATGAAAAAAGCTGAAACATGAAGTCTGGACAAGGCACCCTTTAAATCTGAGCTAGCTGGAGAAGTTTGCTCAACAAGAGTGGGCCAAACTACTAGTTGGCAAGTGAATAAGTCTCATTGAGAGCTGCAGAAATCATTTGTTTGCAGTGACTGCCTCTAAAGGTTTTGCAACATATTATGTTAAGGGTCCCATCATTTTTGTCCATGCCATTTTCATTTGTTTTATTTTTTTCAAATATTATGTTGAAACAGAAATCAAAAGCAAATTCTGATTTTAAATTAAATATAGACTAAACAATAAAGGATGGCAATTACTTTGGTCAGTTTCACGTTATTTCAGAGGCAATTGTTGGTTATTCTTTTTATATTAATATTTTATATTTATTATATTATTTTTATATTTATATTTTATATTAATTTCTGTTTGTATTTGCTTACCTCTTAGTACAATCAAAGAAATGTAAATTAAACCAATGTAGGAAAAACAAATTACATGCTTCCTGTAGTGATCTGGAAGCTGAGGGAAAAACCTGCTCTAATTCTATCTTTCACCCTGCACTAACAACTGGAATATGATTGGATGTTTTTATTTTGCTGTGATATACAAGCTTTATTGTGTTAGTTTTGTTTTCTGAACTTAGAGGTCAAAAGGCTGTATTATTTCACATGTGTGGGCCATAAAGATTATCAGTGGTCCAGATAAGGCTCACAATGACATCATGAAGTGATGAGGACATTCTGGGAGAGTATTGGAATGATACTCTCCTAGTTCTAAGCATCTCACCTGCCAAGATGGACAACTACAGAATCCTGATTGCTTCTACATGACCAAAGCACATGATACACTGAATTTTACAATGGATATTTATCATGGAGGTATGTATTGTGCTTATGCATTCAGAAGAACAGATACTGCAATGTTCTTGCTATTGCTTTTAGTAGCTAATTGCCCCTAATTGATAAATTAGACTTACTCCCAGATATTCGGTGGTGAGGAGTTTTTCCCCAGACAATTCTCCAGCTTGAGGTTGAATCGCTTCATTCTTGTCCAAATCATTTTCCAGGGCATCTTGCTCCTCCTGAACAGAAAGCAAGGCGTTTACAATATATTCTCCAATAATAAATCAAAGGTGGATAATGTGTCAAATAAATGTAGCACATGGTGTTAAACTGGGTTTTTAGACAATCACTAATTAGTCACAGGAAAATCAGAAGGATTACAGTTTGCTTATTACATGGTAAGTGGTTTGGTCTTTACCAGGCAGTCAGGAATGATAAATGTAAACTGGCAAAGTTCCTGGTCTAACAGAATTGCCTCTACAGGTGCCAAGACGTTTCCCTTATGATGGTTTAATATGTTGCACAAAAAGACAAACAAATGACCATGGTTTTTAGTGCATTGATGTGAGTAGTTCCTACAATTATTTTTCATATCTTGGCATCAATAACATTTTAGACTTTTTCTACAAAGTGTTTGTGATTTTTCTGATGCACGTTGTTTCCACTGGGGTACAGTCCCAGGCCTGGCGCTACCGCAAGGCAAGTCAGGCGGCCGCCGGAGGGCGCTGCAGGGTGAGGGCGGAAAAAACAGGGCATTTTTGAGGTGCCGCGCATGTCGGGATCCTCAGGCAGTCACCGGCCAGCTAAATTAGGACCCCACCTGGAGCTCCTCCAACCGGACCAGCGCTGCCTCGCCGCTGCTCTCCCACGCCGAAGGTAAGTGAAAAAAAAAACATAGCGCAAACATCGGGGCATTTTGACAAGTACAAGTACTTGTCAAAATGCCCTGTTTTTACAGGGGGTGGGGGTCGGGGAGGGGGGTGGGGGCGCAAAAATGCACCTTGCCTGTGTAGGCAAGAATGCTAGCACCGGCCCTGCACAGTCCATGTACCCATTGCACTCCTGACTGCTCATCCATGAGAAAAATGGGTGCAACGGTAGTAGACGGATGGCCACCGTCTCAGTGATACGAAAGAATATGGACACCGGCAGATAGAATACATCTATTTATTGACGTACATGCAACTTAGCATGTACTTAGCACTAAGTGTGTTATTCTGCTTTTTTTGCATGTACGCCAATAAATAGATGTATTCTATATGCTGTTGGAGTGCCGGTGTCCATATTCTTTCCTTTCCACCGGTGTAGCACCACCTGTGACTCCACCATGTGTTATTTTTTTTAAATATTAGCCAGTTATATACTGTGTATTTAGAAACACATACAGCCTTATTTAAAAAAAAATACACTCCACAGAGTTGGCTAGAACTAGCTCCTGTGGAAGTATTTTCTACATTTTCACAGCTCTTAGTGTAAAAAATCCTTTCCATATGCAGTGGTTAAAAGTTTTTTCCCTCCAGGTGCAAAGAGTACCGCCATGATCATTATATGAACAACTTAGTTGCCTCTTCTGAAGGGAGAATAAAACAGGATTTTTGTCTTACCTGTAAAATCTGTTTCTTGGAGTACATCATGGGACACAGGGATTTAATTCTTAGATCCCTGGGTTATGAAGCTACCTTTAGGTAACTGGAGACTAACAAATCAATAAAAACTGCAGAACAGCCCTGCATAACCCTTCAGACTTCCCACTTGCCTCAGTTTTATGGCAAGTAGTACAGAGTGGATCGCAGAATACAGAGGGGAGAGTGCTGTGTCCTGCAAAGTAGGGATGCACCGATACCGGTATTTTGGTACCGAGTAAGAGTACTGATAATTTTTTTTCGGTACTCGCCGATACCAATTACCGAGTAACGGAAGTCCCATTCAGGAGCCAGGTGGCGTGTAATGACTCGCCACCTTGCTTCGATTAGCCGGGCATCGTGTAAAGAGTCGCCACCCGCCTTCCCGATTAATAAGAAAGTCCCCTCTTACCGTAGTATGTGCAGCCTGTCACCCCCGGGCCTCTCCAGCGAGAACGCGGCCTTCGTTCGGTACCCAGCCGGAGCCGTCTGGCCAATCAGGAAGCCGGCGCCGTGTAATGACGCGACGGCCTGCTTTCTGATTGGCCGGGAGGCCGGCTCCATGCTCTCTTGTCATGAGATGACGAGGGAGCATGAAGCCAGCTTCCCGGCCAATCAAAAAGCATGGCGTCGCGTCATTAGACGGCGCCCGGCTTCCTGATTGGACGGCTCCAGCTGGGTACCGGACGAAGGCCGCATTCTCGCTGGAGAGGCCCTGGGGATGACAGGCTGCACATACTAAGGTAAGGTAACCTTACCTCACGAGGCCAGCTTCCTGATTGGCCAGCTTCGCGAAACCGGGCAGCGTGTAATGACGCACTGCCCGGCTTCCTGATACCGGAAGTACTCGTGCTAGGCATCGGAGCATTTGGGCGAGTACGAGTACTTGCCCAAATACTCGGATCGGCACCGATATCGATACTAGTATTGGTATCGGTGCATCCCTAGCTATATCTATAAGTACAAACAGATACTTATAGATAATTACAGGCTTTTTATTCTTTGCATATCTTATTTTTCTTTTCTTCCCCATTCTTTTCATGGTGGCTTTTTACTTCCTGAAACTCTAGCACATGTAACTAGGACATGTGACTATGCACAACTTCTCAAGGGGAAAAAAATGCTTTTCCCTGAGATCTTGCGAGAATATGCAGTTTACAGATAAGATTTCCCTGTAATGCACTGCTGATGTAACATTTCCAGGGTGCACCACTCCCTTAGGCACAGGCTACACCACTAATGCCCAAGAGTACCAGGAAGTGTAAAAACTGTAATTGTAAGTAAAAGAAAAATATGTTTTTTTTTAACCAAATAATGTAAGAGCTGAATGCTGATGTGATTTTGCCCTCCTAACCCTATTCCACTGAAATTGTATTGTATTGTAAATTGTATTGCAACTGTACTGTCTCCCCCATTTTGTAAAGTGCTCCACAAGCTGTTGGCACTATATAAATCCTGTATTATAATAAACAAAAAAAAAATTTTTTTTTTAGTTAAAGGAGGTAAAAAGGTCCGCTTTAAGAGCCATTCTTGCGGCTTTAAAAGTTCCTCAATCACAGACTAAACCAAATTAGTTGCAGCCTTTGCACTGAAAAAGGATTAAATGCTAAATCAGAAGCATGTAATTTATTTGAAACAAACGCATGCATTTGCCTAAATATATGCATTTGATTTCAGCAGAAAATGTCAAATGCAGTAGTTAGAGGCAAAGCCCATCTAACGAGCCCTAAAGCTACTAAACTGCACGCAGTGGTGTAAAAGCAGAAACCTGCACACATGATCACTTTCAAAGTGATTTAATATGGAAAAAGAAAACTTCAGCAACTGAAGTTGTGTTTTACAGGCATCTTCAAGTGTGAGTCTTACATGTCTGCCAAGAGTTTACCGACCGTCATGAGAGAAACAAATGAGGCTGCCATTGTTGACCTCTTCTTATGAAAATGTCAGTTGACTGGTTGTTCTGCTGACTTTCTTGCTTTAGTTCTATAAATCACTGACCTGGAACATCTACATAAATGTACATTTGTTTCAGGTCAGTAACCCAATCAGCATTAAAGCCTATGGATCAACATAAAAATAAGGCACCTCACATTTTCAGAACGAAGAACTCCAGGCAAAACTTTTCTTAACCCTTGCAGTGGGGCTACCCCTGCATTGCAAGGGTTAAGTACTCATTTTGGTCTAGGTGGAAAAATAACAAAGTTATACTCACCTGATCCTCGGAGCCAGTTGGCTGTTAGACTGGTCCTTCCAGCCTCTCTCCCCCTCTGCTCCAGAGATCTAAGGATCCTTGAGTTATTACATCCAATACACTGTTTATAGAACATAAGGGCGCCGAGGGACATGCCATTGCTGTAGCGAAGGAGACTGGACTGGAGGGAGCGCTGTAACAGCCAGGCAGCTGCAAGGTTCAGGTGAGTGTAACTGTTGTTTTTGCACCTAGACCAAAGTGGGCACGTAACTCTTGCAATGCGGGGATAGCCCTACTGCAAGAGTTAAGAAAAGTTTTATCCGGAGTCCTTCTTTAAAGTCAACCTGTTTGCAGGTTAAAGCTGTTAAACTACTAGCAGGTCATATTTGTGATGTCCTGCCAAGAATATGGATGCTGCAATCCCGTCTTCATTTTCCTCGTTGCTTATCTACGACATTATCCCAGCTGCCATATGCTCTCCATTACTACTGCTATGTGTGTCAAATATCCCGCTTGCTTTATCCGGTCTCTCTCTCATCTTCGCTCTACAATAAAAGTCTTCTTGTCCTCCTTTAATCTTTAAAACATTGCACATTTCTCACCTGCTTCATCTCCAAGGTCTCATTATAATTTACACTGTATCCACAAACTTTTCAACTGTCTCCCACCTTCATTGCACATATTCCCTGATGACATCCCCAAGATGACATCCAACTGGCTTCTCTGCCCCCTTGCTCCACCATCAGTTCTTATCAATTTCCTTAGTTTGTTAACCTAACATATCAGAATATTTGCTCATTTAATTTATTTTCAAAAGGTGTAAAAAAATAATATCAGTGAAATAAACAACAATGGTAATATGATTTGGATGCAATTGAAAGAGAAAAGCAAAAATATGTGTAACAAGTCAAGAGAAAACATTCCAAAATTATGATAAAACCAAACTGAACAAAAACGGTATGCAAATTTCTGGCAAGCCTAACTTAGGCCTGGTTTATACCTGGGCGTTTTGTAGCATGTTCGAACGCTCTGCAAAACGCTCAAACACCGAAATCCCATTATTTCCTATGGGTATGGTTCACACCTGGGCGTATTACAGGCCGTATGAACGCGCTACAAAACGCCCTACGCCCAAAGAAGTACAGGAGCTTCTTTGGGGCGTTTTTGTCGCGGGTTTCCATTGGGATACAGCCAAGTAGCCCTCGGAAACGCACGTTTGTTGCACATCGACAGACCGATTCCCGCGATTGATGCGTGTTTTTGTGTGTGCTTAAAATGGGATTTCATGTGCATTTGCATTCGTTTTTAATGCGTTTGATGCGTTCCGTTGCAATTCGATGCAGCTAAAATAGGGCAAGCAGTATTTTTTTCTGGGTGCATCGGAACGGGCTACACTGGTGTGAACAGAGCACAAGAAATACCATAGGAAAGAATTGTGATGCGTTTTTGATGCAGCTGAAAAATGGAACGGACTGCATCACTACTGCATATGGTGTGAACTGGCACTAAGGCATCCAAAAGAAAACCTCTGCACAGCGTGGGAAGAAGCTCTCATACTTCATGCTCTAATGGCAACCAATCAATGTTTACCATCACAAAAATGCAGAAGGAATTCAGCAGCACATTGTTAAAAAGCAGAAAATGCTTGGTGCTCAAAATACACTCAAATAAATTGCAACAGTTTTAGCCTCTTAGATAATTTTTTTTCATGTGCACAACTATTTAGCCACTCCGTTTAACATGTGCACCTGTTTTGACCAGAGCTTGCACTATTTTTCCGATTGTGTGTGTTTTGCGAAAGTTCGCAACTGTTTACAGCTGCACTTCTCCTGCGGCTGTCTGAAACTGGAGCATCACCTAACAAGACAATCGCAACTTAAGAAGTCCCCATGGCCACTTCTTTAGGAAGCGAAAGTTAAGCTTTTTGCCTGGAGTTACGAGTCTACTTTCCTGGAGTCTATTTAATCTCATTTATGAACATTACACTAGCAACATAAATCTGGTGCAAATATATTCCTTGCAACCATATGCAAGTTTAAACACTCGCAATTGCCATGATAAATAACCCCCCACACTGTATGTGGCACTCCAACATTTCTGACCAAATATGTGTAAAAATACGTGATTGCAACTTTAACTGCATTTCCACATACAGGTAGAATTTGGTACTAAAGAGCATAATTTAGGATAACATGGCAGTCCATTGGGGTTATTTTACCTGGTGAGACTGGGTGGTCAATTCTGAAATACAAACAACACTGAGCAAGAGTTCTTTAACCGGTTTTATGCTGCGGTCACAGAATTGTACCTTTAACTGAGACTTTGATATCCGAGTTCCTTGGTTCATGACAAGACCATTGCTTTAGAAACATTTCCATTGCCATAGAAGTGAGTCACAGTTATCTGGTCGGTTAACAAAGGTTCCTGATGACACAACATAGCTGCAGCTGAGTTTCGGGCTATTTTGTATGTGCAATAATGTTCTGGAAAGCTCACCTCGTCATCATCAGCCTCTTCCTCGTCATCAGACTCTGCTGCTTCATCAAATTTATCTTCTAATACAAAAGACAGGAAATATGACATTGTATATGCTTTTGTTTACAGAAGTACCTTGTATGCAGGCTGCTGATAAGCTTTTTGGATACTTTAGATCCTCATTGGTCAAAGTGTCTGAGAGCAATGTCTGATTGGTTTGAGTACTTATTTTCGGCAATTACATAAGAGAGACTGTTCTGTAAACTTGTATATACAGTAAAACCACATTTTGCCTTTCTGAAAAATCTGTTTCTTGGAGATTAAGGGACACAAGGTGAAGTAATTCTGAGACACTGGGTTATGCTGCTGCCTTCAAGAAAAATTGGACACTGATAAACAAACCAGCCTAGTTTAACCTGTCTCACTCCCAGCATGCTCTAGTTTTGTAACAAGCAATAGTAGTAATGGATCATAAGAGCAGAGGAGGGGGACTTGTGTCCCCTAATGAACTCCCAAAAAAGGTATTTTATGGTTAAAAAAAATCCTGTTTTCCTAATTGATCATTGAAAGACAAAAAGAGAAGGAATTTTCAGACACTGGGGCGTCGAAAAGCAGTCCAACTGAGGGGTGGGCAACACAGCAAACAAAAAACTATTAGTACCACAAGGAACAACAGGTTAACAGGCTGGGCTCAGCAGAGCTTACAGAGTCTCTTGAGGAACCTTACAACTGTAGCTGGTCTAAAGGTGGCCATTCACCTGCCGATTATCGTATGGTAATCGTGGGAAATCCCGCGATCGTACGATAATCGGCAGGTGTATGGAAGGCGTGCGACAGTTTCTATTGTACGGTCGCACGTCTTTTGTCTTACGAGCATGTTTGAAAACCAGCCGAAAATCGTAACATTTTCGGCGGGTTTGTGGCCTGCTCATAAGACAAATGCCGCACGGGCCGGTGCGCAAGCGCACACTGCCCGCTCAGCTTTGCACTCATCGGAAGCCCGCCCCTCAGCGTATGGTTGTAAAGTGTATGGCCAGCTTTAGATGAAGCCTGAACATCCACCATTAAGGCTGAACCCTGGCACAATCATTCTCAATCATATATATTCCTCAAGAGCCATCGAGGATTTATATTTGCTTTGTGAGAACCAACTGCCTTTGCAAACCCAGATATTAGAATATAAGTATCAATGTCATCATCAGTAGACTGTACATAACTTGTGCAAAGAGCAGAGACGTGGGAGGGACCCATTACAGACTGCCTGCAGATAAATACAGGAGGGGGCGGATTCAAGACCAGTCACCCTGCATAGTGAGAGAGAGCATTAGTGACAGGTCTTTATTACAGGAAGCTCCTGCACAGAAGTGTCACACTGGATTACTGCACAGCTCTGGAAGACATTCACAAAGCATGCAGCTGCCTCAGTCACTCCTATGACTGGTCTGTGCCTATGGTGGATGCATCCCTTCAGAAAAATATGGACCAAGCCAGAGGAATGAATGAGGCCAAAGCACACAAACATTACACCAAAGGGTGGAGGGTAGCTGAAAGAATAACTTCACATAAAGTGAAGCTGTCCTTTCAGTATGGATATAAAACATTACATCTGTTTCATCACAGACGCCTGAGCCACTGATAGTTAAAGTCAATCTCTTTTCATCTGCAGCTCTCCTAATGAATCAGAAATGACTGTCCTTTATTCAACACTACCATAATAGAGTTTGCTGAATTTCTGAAAGGATGTGTTTCAGTGTCTAACCAATTACACATATTTTTTCTTTGCTCAGCAAGAATGCTTTACAAAGTATCTTGGCATGCAAACAGACACAGGTTTGACCGCCTACAGTGGCAGTATGCTGCTATGTCCTGATTATAGATGAGCCTGGGATTTGTGCAAATCCAGTTCATTTAAGTTCGCCCTAGCCTGCTGAAAACTGACTGCCACTTCCCCACTCTGGCCAAATCTGTTGCGGCTGGGGCACTCCCTGCCATTTTGTGACGTATAGCTAGCTGCGGGGCGGGAAATGTGCCTCGCTGCAACTGATTGGTCCAGGAGAGGAGGGTGGTGGTCACAGTTATGACTGGGCTTGGGTGAACTGGGTGCGCGCAAAGCCCAGGCTAATCACTACTCCTGGCAAGTTGGGTCCACTTATAGTTCGATAAGGACACTCACCAGAGTTGAGCTGTCTTATAATGAACTCAATTTGACGGTTCATATCTGTGTTCCCTTCCTTCATAAAACACCTCAGAATTTCCTGCATTCCCTGGAAATGAAGGAGACAATTAAAGTGCTTCTCTAAGGCAGAATTGAAAAAAATATATGATAGCACAGATAAGATAAAAACAGAATTACTATTTAGTATAACCACATGGGCGTCTCATCTGAAATCAGTTGTAAAATGATGCCACTATATTCCCAGGCTTAGAAATATGCATATACCACCAATAGACACATCTCTGCAGTCAAGGAAAAGCAGCGATTATTTATTCTGGACATGTACTTGGCAACTTGTATGTTGGAAGTTTTAAAATCACTGCAATCTGCCACACACAGTTTCAATCATTTCCCTTGGGGGTAGATTACTGTGGCTATAACGCATGAGAAGGTCCAAAATTGCCCACAAAACTGAACTGGCAGAAACAGAGGTATCAAAAGGCAGAAAGTGAGTTTTAAATGAGATCTATGAGGTGAGTGATTTCCACTCATCCTCATAGTTAGAGCCGACCTGTGACAAAGAAGCTGTCACAGATCGGCTCTATCGATCGGGAAGTGAGCAGAAACATGCACCGATCTGCTCACTTCCTGATCATCTCCCTGCAGAGAGCGGTCAGGGATTTCCCCCCTCTCTGATCCTCCAGCGCTGACTGAGGGAGGGGGCGGGCACAGCTGGCTCTGCCTCTAGATAGGCAGAGCCCACTGCCACTCACGCAGCTGGGTGGATCTCGACAATAATGTCAAGATCCGTCCCGGGTCCAGTGCTCACAGTATATTGCGGGCAATAGCTTGCAATATACTGAGCTTTGGGTCACAGGAGGACACTAGTATATGTCCTCCTGTGACCCTAAAGAGAACTAAGGGGAAAAACACTTACCCCATAGTTCTCTTTTAAAGTGTATTTTAACTTTTGCAGCCAACTTAGCATAACACGTATTTTGCAATTTTGTTACATATTCTTATTCGCATAGCATAATTTTAAAGAATACAAAATGGCTGCTTAGATTACTTGTTTTTTCATATGACTAGTTTTCTCTAAACTCAATTTTCCTCTGAAATGTAAGGGAGATGGGGTGATTACTATAGATTAACCCTGTCTATACTGTGCTGACAGACCTCATTATCAGTTAAAAACTAGAAAGAAGAGGACATTTTGAGGTGTCAATAATGTATCATTCATTATAAAAACAACAATTTTGTTAGTATTTATACAAATAGACAAGACCTTTGAAAATTATTCTACATTCAGGTGGATGGGTTTTGCAAGATTCTGCACCATTTCACATTTATACGCAGTCTACCTGCTATTCTTTCTACTACTTTGCTTCTACATTTAGGAAAGATACAAACTCCTTACAAAATATGCTGATAATCAGCAGTAGAAGAGAAGTATGTTTGACGCATTTCGCATAACTACTGTATAGCTGCTTCATTAGAACACCTGGGAATAGCTAAACATGTTTTGTTATGCCAGGGGTAATCCGTATCCCATGGGAGACTGCAGGGGGTAGAAAGAAGCCGTAAAGAATGGGGGCAGCCATCTCTTATGCTATGATTTGAAGTGGTAATAGCTGAATATAGACAATACATACTAAAATGCATATGTGTTTGCCGTTATCCTTAAATGTTCACTCTCATGCTATAATGTCGACAAAGTATGATACCTAAATTTATACACATGTGACGCTTTAAAAACTTTTACAGCTCTTAATTTAAGAGTTAATCATAAACATAAATATTGGCCATATAATTATTTCCAGCACTCTGTGTGCTTGGCAATACGTGATATATGTTACACAGTCTTTGCTTGCACATGCATGCACAACCTACGTGTGCATTTGTCTGTGCGTGCACAGGGAGGCAGGTGGGGGCTTTAATTTTTTGAAAATTAATTTTATTATATTTTTGAAATGTCTTTGAAACTGTTTTTTTTAACTTAACTTCATTAATATCAAATAGGGGGCTGACAAGCATCCTATGTGATTGCAATTTATTTGTGACAGGTCCTCTCCATGAAGACATATGGGGTCTATTAGCCTCCCCCAAATGCTTTCTTTGTACTCTGCCTGAACAGACTGACTATAGACTGTACTTGTACTGCAGCTATCGTGACTATCCCTGGCCACGGCGGCCGGAATCTGAGAGCTCTGAACTTGCAAGTGCTAGGTTACTGCTTCACAACGGAGGTTTCTTATCTCCCCTCGACTTTCTACCTTTAACACTGGAGTGGATGTCCTGGCAAGAGTACATTTCCTTATATGTATAAGTGACTAGACAGCTTCTGATCACTTCTACTGAAGAGCCCGAAGCCGGCTCTATAAAAAGCAGTCTCAAGTAGGCTGTGCGGGGCCTCACCAGGGGTCGAGAAAGGTCTTGTGGGTGGGTGTGGGTGGCAGAAGCACTGTAAGCAGTGCCTCATGATTCCCTAGGAAGAAGGAAGAGATTTGCAACCGCTTCAGTTTAAAAATGTAAAGTGCTGGTATCGATGTGTAGTATCGGTGCCTGGTAATGCCCATAAAATGCCCATTATCGGCACCAATACTGATATCTGTATATTCCTAATTTAAACCATATGTGAATATTCTTAAGCTTTATTTTATTGTCTTATTTATAACCAAATGTCTTCTTTATAATGATTGCCAAAAAAAATATTTGTATACAATGTAATTCTTTATCATTTTGGACACTTTAAAAATCCCATATTGTTTGCGTTCAAGTTATATTCCAAATCAAAGGATGTGGTGTCGGGTATACTAGAATCAGTGACAATGTACGCCAATATATAATTTACCAAGGCAACATACAATGCTAAGTTAAAAAGACAGTTTGTACCACCACCTAAACACACAGACTAAATTATTCAATAGCAGGCACAAAAAACAAACAAACATCGAAGGGAATTTATCCAAACTGGAGCAGACAAAATCTGGAGCAGCTGTGTGTTTTCAAATCTTAACTGAACAACTGAAGAGATAGGCTGATTGGTTGCCATGCACAGCTGCTCCAGATTTTGTCTGCTCCAGTTTTGATAAATTCCCCCCACAGCATTTTCTATTGGTATCTTACCATAGCTCTTGCTTCCTCTCGAATCAAAGTAACAGCGAGGATGCTATAGAGAGCTCCATTTACATAGGGACGAATCTGTGGGTTAGAAGAAATTGCAAAAGTTTACAACCTGATACATTTTTACAGGGATGTATATATGAGACTGACAAAAAGAGGAGCGGTTTATATGGCAGCTACTGTAATCAAATTCTTCCTTACATAGATGTACGGGACATAATGTGGAATAAACCAATAAAAGTGACCTTAAATTTTACAGATAAGGCTCTGCTTAATGCTAGCTCTAGACATGAAAAGGCAGCTAGAAGATCTGACCACCTAAAAAACTGCCTCTGAGCCCCCTCCCAGGCCCTGACATCACTCATAATCTTGGAAGCGGCCAGGGAAGCCTTGGAGCCAGGAGTACAAGTGAGGTCAGGACCGGGGAGGGGGAATAGAGGCATGGGTTGGAACAGAGAGCTTCCAGAAGTGTCAAAAGAAGAGAAATGCCAGGACTATTTGCAAAAGAAACATCAACTAAAATGTTATAAAACAATCATAGCCACAGCAATTCTACTGTAAATATATGCCAAGTCAATGTTTTTCTTAGTTTTGGATAGAGTGGGTAAGGGTTGGAACCTGTGTCAGTTTTTTACTCCATTATAGAAATGTCTCCTCACTCCCTGTTCTGCCAGACAGGAAGTGAGGGGGATTATCAAGAAGCAACACAGACAAATGAAAAAACTTTTTTGAAGGCTAAGAGAAGGCTAGAACCCCCGTCAGATTGTAATTTCTGTCTGTGTCCCTGTTGCAGATTTTTCCTCACTTCCTGTCTGGTGAAACCATACACCCAGTTTTGTCCTAGGGCTTGTGAGTTATGAGCATAGAATGGAACTCTAATTGCTTATTCTTTAAAATCTAGTGTTCACAAATAAGGAAGGATAAACTGCATAAAATTATATACACACAATTACATACTTTAATGAGACACATACCTCATGGTTCTCATGACCAAGCAAATCAGACAACACCCTGAGAACATGGCTTGCATTTTTGGCACACACTTTCTTTCCTATTAATGACAAAACACTTAGTAAAATTTGTATTAGCTAATTGATGCAGTTATTCTATGTCCCTTAACAATTATCAAGGCACACAGCGGAAGATACGTCGTCATATAATTATACTTCTACATACATCCACACACCTGCACTACGTAAGCAAAGGTTCATGAGCAAGGCCACAGAGTACTCCATTGTGTAGTCAGACAGATGATCAGTGTCTTCTAGCTCTTGTACAAGCCAATCAATAAGACCATCCTTTATCATTGCAGACTGCATAGGTCGCCTAGAAGAGGAAGCAACATTAGTAAAAAGAAAATGCAAAGATCCCTATGAGTACGTGTCAAATATACTGTAACAATGTGGTCACATGCTTATACATTTAAGAAGTTGTAATTCTTACAATATGTCAATCTTGAAGTGAGTGACACTAAACTCAGGAGTTAAATCTTAAAAATGCATTGAAGTACCCTAGTAACAAAAATGTCATTTATGTGTGTATCGTGCCAAGCTGGAACAAACGTAGAGTTCCCTTGTCGCACTCATTACCTGAAGATCCCCAATCCAAAAGGGGGGGTGCTTGTAATGATTGCGGATGGCGTTGCCAGACAATGTTAGTAGATAAATGTCACCAGCACACCAAAAGCATTTGAAGTCCGAAGTGATCGTTTATTTAAAACGTCATGTCATCAACACTGGCACTTTCGGGGCCCTGCAGGGTTTCTTTCATCAGGCTCAGCAATGCGCGGCCCCAAAAGCGCTAGTTCTGATGACATGACGTTTTAAATAAACGATCACTATGGAATTCAAATCCTTTTGGTGTGCTGGTGACATCCATCTACTAATATCGTGCCAAGCTCACTCCCGTGATGGATTACAATCTCACGTTTAGTTTACTAATTTGTATTGAGATTGTAGTCCATCACAGGAGTGAGCTTGGAGAGGTGACTACTTTACAACACACACACAGAGACCATGGGGAACAAAAGTAGCCACCCTTCAGAAGAAAGGACAGTGTCAGCACCAATTCAGAGATGATTTGAGGATCTACAGCGATATACACTGAGTGGCCAGATTATTATGACCACCCCATCAGTACTTCGTTGGACCACCTTTTGCCTTCAATCCTGCGGCGATTCTTCTTGGCATTGACTCCACGAGATGTTGAAAGGTGATGCAAGGAATCTGACACCATGCCTGATGAATAGCACTGTCCAGTTCTGTGAGATTTGATGGAGCTGCCTGATGGCTCTTTCAACTTCGTCCCACAAATGCTCAATTGGATTGAGATCTGGTGATTGTGGAGGCCACCTAAGCAAGGTGAAGTCTCCCTCATGTTCTTGAAACCCCTCCTGCACAATACGTGCACCGTGGCATGGCGCATTGTCTTGTTGGAAGAAGCCATCTCCATTGGGATACGCCATCAACATGATAGGATGAACTTGATCAGCAACGATACTTTGGTATGTGGTGCTATTCAGACGTTGTTCCACACGAATTAAAGGGCCCAAATCATGCCAGGAAAACATGCCCCAAACCATAACACTGCCCCCACCAGCTTGAAGTGTTGTACTCATGCATGTGGGGTGCATGCTTTCATGCTGTTCCTGCCAAATTCTCACTCTGCCATCTGCAGATGCAATGATGCCATGATGCAACTGGAAACGTGATTCATCGGACCACATGACTTTTTTCCAATGCTCGACTGTCCAATCCTTGTGTTTCTGTGCGAATTGGAGACGTTTTATCTTGTTAACTGCAGACAGCAAAGGTGTTCGAACAGTCCTTCGGCTTCCATATCCCATATGATGCAGTGTACGGCGAACAGTGCGTTCAGAGATCGTTTGAGAGGATCCCTGATTAAGATCTGCAGTAATTTGACGCACTGTTGCCCTTCTGTTGTCTTGTACCAGTCTTTCCATTCTCCGTTCTGCCCTAACATTGACTAGTCGCTGATGCCCACAATTAGGGGTCTCTAGGGGGTTGGACGGAAACGAACACATATAGACGATCGGCGGGCTATGGAGACGCTGATCGCCTATATGTGAAACACCCGGTAACGGGTGTTTGCATTGGTCGGGTCTTTTCTGCCCGTGCGTGCCCGCTAGGGGGCGCGCGCGAGCAGAAAAAAAATTGTCGTCTGGAGACGGCAACCCGCCAATGCTGCAGTGCCGTCCGTCCGTTTTTTTACAACGGGCGGACGGTAAGTGGTTAAACACTTTAACAACAGCTGCTCTTGAACATAACGAATTCTGCTGTTTTGCTGATACTCGCTCCATGGCTCTGAGCGCCAACAATCATCCCACGTTCAAAGGCTGTTAAATCGCGTTGTTTACGCATATCTACAGAAAAAAAATCACTTTTACTGTCGTGGTAAACAACCTGCTTCCCTATTTATAATGGTCTGGCCCTCTAGCAACTTCAGCGCGAAATTATAGTTAATTTGCCTACAAACGTGGTCATAATAATCTGGCCACTCAGTGTACAAATAAGATGCATTGAGGGGAATTTATCAAAACTGGAGCAGTGAAAATCTGGAGCAGTTGCCCATGGCAACCAATCAGCTTCTCTCTTCAGTTTGTTCAGTTAGGATTTGAAAATGAAAGTTGGAAGCTGATTGGTTGCAGTGCACAGCTGCCCCAGATTTTGTGTGCTCTGGTTTTGATAAATTCCACTCGTTGTTGTTAATAGTTCGGGTACATAAATGCATTTTTAGGATTTAACTATTTAGTTTAGTGTCATTGTAATACCAAATTACTATATTGGCCTGTGGTTGCTTGGTTCATTGAAAATTAGCTTTGAACATTTTGTGCTTTTGCTTAGTCTTTAACTAAAAGGCCATGCAGCTCTAGAGACCTGTGCTCAATTTCCACCAGGGGAACTATGTGCACTGAGGTTTTTTTTCATCCACCTACATATACATTTTCCCCCTGTGTTCTCCAGTTTCGTTCCAGTCTAATTATCCTCTCCAAAAGAGAAAGAAGCCTTCTGAATATTTTTTTACATGGAAGTGAGTGTTTCACCAACTAGGTTTTTGATCAAGTGATCTCTACAGCTCAGACCTGAAATTGTCTTATGTAAAAAATAGTAAAACTTTTCCCAATAAAGAAGAGACATCCATCCTTCCAGGACACTAGCAAAACACTGAAGCATACGGAGAGCAGGAGGGGTTACATCTGGCTGGCCACTGTTTTTCATTTGCCAGTGTGCAGATCCTCCTGAAGGCAGCAGTATAACCCAATTGTCTATGAATAACTGTATCCGGTGTCCCTTAATGTTTAATAAAGACAATGTTTGAATGTCTGGAAATATGTATAATCGCATAAATGTCACAGTGTGTAGCACACCAGAAGTTTGGTTAGGGAGCTCTTACAGATTTGGGCAAAACTGTGCTTGTAAAAATCTTATCTGGTTCCCTTAGCTGAGGTAAAGAAGCTGTATGAGCTCATTTAAGATCTACTTAAGGGTCAATGCAGTTTTTCAGGGACTCTACTAGTAAGTGTCTGCACTTCAGTTGAATTCTTTGTTTATTTTAAGGTAAGAAGATTGCAAGGAACATACAAAGGTGTGCGGGAACACCCCAAACTGAAAGATGAATAGGCGCGGAATAGGAATTCTTGCGTTATTCATAGGTTTTCTTTTGTAAACCACTGACAAGAGTCTACACTGTTCCACCCACTATAGTTAAAGCATATACAGCAGAATGAAATAAGTGGCATCTAATAAACTGTCATCCAGGTGCAGCAATAAACAATGGTGCCATCTGAAGAGAAGAAAGAAAAATAACTGGCAAAACTTGATCCTGCTGCCATCCTGGTCCTAGCTTTGTGTTGGCACTGTATACAACAGATCATTGTCATCATTTTATTTGACTTTCAATATATACAAATGACTACACAAAAGAAGTGAAGGTGAAAAGAAGAATTGGGCAAGCTAAAGTATATTGAATACTGTAAAGGGACAATATGTTCTGAGGCCATTATTCAAATACAAATGTTTTATTAACCTGTAAATATTTTCCAATTCATGGGTGAAAGGTAGAGTTACATTGTATGCCCAAGTAAACTCAATTATAGCCTTACAGAAAAGTGGTGAATCACCTGCTGGCTTTGTAATACTCAATAATTGCAGTTCCTTGTCCCTGCTACTTCCACACTTGGACAATTCATAGGGAAACCCACAACTCATCCAGAATTATATTTTGCAGTTACTAGAGAATTCAGTCTGAGATGTCAGACTACACAGGGCACATAAATGCAGTGCTTGGCATAACGCCAAGCTAGGTTGCAATGAGAGTAATTATTAATAGGAATGAGTAACATAGTACATAATGTGTTCCTTTTTCGCATATGCTATGGGGACAATGTTCTAAATATTGTCCAAACCCTCTTTAGCATCCTTCCTTCTATATTTAAAGTTGATATAAAGGCAAAACTTGTATTTTTAGATTTGAATAGAATGGGCCCCTTGTTAGGCTTTCACTGCTGTCTGTGTACTTGCTGAGGAGATTGATCCCTCTATTTGTCTTCCTAACCATTGGCTTTGAGACAGAAAGTGGTGGGAAATACTTAATTTTAAAGTTGTGACCACAACTAAAAGCCAGGTTAAATCTTCCAAAGTGGATACCTGTTCTAATGGCAATTGTCTAAGAGGGGAACAGGGGAGAAAATTCTTCTCACTTCCTGTTTTGCCTCCACGACATGAAGGGGAATCTCTCTTATAGAATAGACAGCAACAAAATAGGCTAATGTGTTTTAACCCTTCCCCCATTCTATCCAAAACAAAACAAAAAGTTTTAGCTATACATATACTTTAATCTCAGCCAAAACGAAACCACATTTTTGGTTTGTTTTATCCCTTCTTTGCCAGGTGCACCAGTTGTTTGGATCTTACCTGAGGCTAAGTTTTTGCAGAGAGACCAGAACATTTTCTCTAGTGATAGAATCCTTCCCCTCTGCCTTGAGTGCCGTCTCCAGTGAGCGCAGTAAGTAAGGATTCTGACTTAGATAAACACGGCCTAGGATACAAAGAATGTGTATTATCTTTTGCACAGCCAAAGACACTTCAATATCTTGTTTCTGTCTATGTTACGTTCCTATGTGCTCATTTTATAGGGGTATGGTTATGGTGAATCACACCTCATATTCACAAAAGCCCCTACAGAACAATGAAAAACACAAATGATCATACATTTTTATTGTGATCTTATCTACATCAATGGAAAGTATATGTAATAAGGTCATATCCAGGTAAATTTATGTTGATAAATTTGTCACAGATTTGTACAGAATCAAGCAGTCGTTTCAGTATTTAGGTCTGTCTCTTACCATCAGATAATGATGCAAAAGCATTGATAAGCCGAGCTGTGTATTGTCTGACCATCTCATTTTTGGACTGAAGCAACTGTAAGACATTTCTCTATGGAGAAAATAAAAACACAGAAAATAATGTACAGAACTACACACGAGATATAGACTGAGCCATATGCAGTGACTGGCAACCTTCAATCATCAGTGACTCCTGCTGTAAGGGCTAAACTTTTCCCAAGAGCACCAGTTTGCTTAAATCAATAATAGTGTTAGGCCTGTTTGTGCCATTCTCACAATATAAATACACTACATATATACTGTTTCTTTCTTTCCTGGCTTCTTAAAGAAGAACTGCAGGCAAAACTTTTATGAACCCTTGCAGCAGGGCTACCCCTGCACTGCATGGGTTAAGTGCTCAGTTTTGCCTAGGTACTAAAAAAAAAAAAAAAAAAAGTTATACTCACCGGATCCTAGCAGCCAGCTCGCTCTTGGACCAGTCCCTGGAACCTGTCTCCCCCTCTGCTGCAGTAATCTAAGGTCCAATAAATCATCATGTTCTATACACAGTGTATAGACATGAAGACGCTGAAGAACATTCCAATGCTGCAGCGTAGGAGCAGACAGGCAGCAGAGACCGGAGAAGCAGGGAGCCAGTTCAGCGGTTTGGATGAGTATAACTGTTTTCTTTTGTAGCACCCAGACCAAAATCGAGCAGTTAAACCCTTTCAATGCGGGGGTAGCCCCAAGGGTTAATTAAAGTTCTGCCCAGAGTCATTCTTTAATGGCAAACTGTAGCGCTCTTTTAGTGGGTAAAATGTATGAGTTATTATTGTTATATTTGCCTGGCCTAAAACATATAACCTAAAATGATAAAGTAGCAACAATGCTGAATTACAGGGGGCTTGCAAAGTCCAATTTCCTGTGTTCTCAATCCTTGTGTTTCTGTGGTTTCCCTATTGATCCTAACCCCAGACTGTACATGGGACCTTGACTTTTTCTGAAGTCGATTATTATAAGACTTACCCCTCTATATGCTAAATCCCAACCATTCAATTGTTAAATGGCAGAACTTCAGTGGTTAGTAGAGGTTCGGGCTTTTAACAGTTAAATGACAAGGAGAAGAGCTTAGCACCTTAGCAGGTTTAATTTTGACTTGGGCAGAAGGCCATGTGCATCCTCTGCATGGAGTTTCACAGTAACTTAAGGTCAATTTTAAGTATAACACAAGTACTTGCAGACGCCACAAGGTAGCTGCACTTCAACACTGTTGTTCTCTTACAAATATTTTAGGGTGCTACACTAGAAGAAGTTGTCATTTCTTTCTCTTTTCGTTTTCTGAGTTTATGGCGGGTCCCCAAGAGCAAGGAGAAGTGGAAGGACAATTGCAAGGAACTAGCTTACCGAACAAGGTAGGATTTGTATTTTATGGCCAGAGGAATGGAGACACATCAAGTACATTGAGAAGAGACCAATAGCCATTTTAATCTTGTTTTAACATACATGTTGTACGAGATCAAGAACCATTGGTGAGTGCATTAACAAAGGGTGATTTTGCTGGAGGAGCTAGTGTATAGCACACTTGGAGAGCATATTTCCAATACTGAAAAAAGAACTAAAGCCAAACCTTTTTTTGGCTTTAGTCTTCTTTTGGGTCACAGGAGTACATTTACTAAAGTCAGCATCTAGCGGGCTACTGTCAGCTATTTGCTGAAAGTACAGAGCCGCGCTTCAGCCAGGAAAGATCCTGACAATATTGGTGAGATCCACTGCGCTGCCTGATTGATAGCTGGCTCTGCCTCTCTAGAGCCAGCTGTGCCTGCCCCCTCCCGTCTCTCCCTCCAAAGAGCGCTAGGGGAACAGAGATGGAAGGGGGGAATCCCTGCAGGAAGTGGTGGCTGACAGTCACTACTCTGCAGGGAGAAGACCATGAGCAGAGTGATCAGCAGTTTGTGATCATTCAACTCTCAATCTTTAGAGCCAGCATGTGACACCTGCAGTGTCACAGGCCGGCTCTAAGGTAGGGGAAGGGTACATTTTACTCACCCAATACTTCTCCTTTATGCATACAGATTTATAAATTAGCAACTAGAGGGAGATCTGCATTTCATTACAATAATTTAAAATCCATGATTAGCAGCTGTGGAAATACAATAGCAGTCACACATACAGTGCATTGTTTTCATTCTTTGTTTTTTTTAGTCTTCCTGACACTCGAATTTAGGTAGCTGTGCAGTAAAGCACAACCACTGAGTATCACAAAAATGCAGCCACTAGAATATTTAATGATAAAATACCCTCTGTACATACATAGATACAAAGAATGTACAGAAATAAGCTTTTTAAAACATTGACACACATTGATAAAACACGTGAGCTAAAGTTAATTACTATCATGCATCCCTGTAAGAGTTTTACAGTCTGTGTCACAAAAGTCAATTGAATCACTAGCTTTCAATCCTGTAATCGTGTTTCCACACTGTGTGCTTTCAGTTCTGGCACCTGACAAAGTAAGCGTGATATTCCAAGGGTTAAACTTGTACTAAAGGTAAAAAGGGAGGGTCATGGTTTTGTATGTATTTTCTTTATTAATTACAGTCAGGACTCAAAATTAAAAAAAAAGCACAAAAACAAACCGTCAGGATGGCAAGTGGGAGGACACTGAGGATTATCAGTTTCCTGACATCGTTTGCGGTGTGAACCCAGAAGGGCTCAGTACAGATATTGTGTGCTACACACCAGTAACTGCAATTTGATGTCTCCAGAATGTCTCAAAGATACAGATGTATGCATATTAAGTAATATCTGGCTTATTAAAGCTGAACTCCAGGAAAGGAAAAAACTGGAAACTACACTAATGAAATATATAGGGACTCGTTCACCTGCAAAATAATTTATATTTCTGTCTGTTCAGGCCTGAGATTTACACAGATCTGCCACACAGCACAGCCCTGTCTGGTAGGGCAGGTGACCTGATTTTCTCTGATGTAGTAGCACTTACAGGTCTTGTCCCTCCCCCAGCCTGTGACTAGAAAGTGAAGACAAAATCAGCGTACTGATTAGTTAATCTCTCCCACTGCTCTTTTTTCATATCAGCATGTTCCTTGTTAGAACATGAGCAGCACAACACATTTGATGAGCTCCTTGTGCTGGTTCTCTGTCTCCCAGTCTGAGCTCTGTTGTACAGGGACGGCAAGAGGCTGATGAATTTAGGTACTTACACTGTTTGCAAAAAAATAAAATAATGCATTTAATGATGTATTGATAAATATAGAACTGCATTTATTTGTGTATTTGATATCTGTCTGGAGTTCAGCTTTAAATCAATCTTCTAACAATCAAAAATGAGAAATGCCATTGCGCAAGTCTGCTACTGATCCTGAGTGTTGCTCACCTGCCCGTTTTGGTAGCAGTCCAAAAGGTCATTTGTTATATAAGCCTGTAGAACTGTGTCCCTTTGCTCTCCGGGCTGGGAATTAGTAATGCGCTAAAATAAAAATAAAATATATATAAAATATATATATAAAACAACCCAGTTTACCTTAAAATATTGAAAAAAATAATGCTTAAAGAAATACAGGGGTTGCTATTGCTGACATCCTTCTAAAAATTCTAGATTCTTCTCTGTCTTCTATATTTCCTTAGATATGCACTGAACCTGCACTTCAAAAAGGAAAAATTTAGCAATTAACAGCCTCAATAGTTGCTCAATAAAGTCTTCTCGTCAAAAAGGAGGGAAAAAAAGCAACAAAAAAGGTAACTACTTCTGAAATCAGGATATCTGAAACATGCTACTTTGAAACTGCAGGAAAGAAAACGGTTACATTGGCATCATTGACATGATGTAGATATTTTACAGCCTGAATCAACGTGCAGCCTATCAAACCATTAGCAGTAAGGGACACCAGGGCACAGTGTCTAAAGCAATGACCTTCATGGAGCGCCTTACAACACTTCATGCATGTTCCAGCTACTCTCAGACCCAGCTTCTGGGTGCTGTAGTTGGTCTAGGTTTTGTATACACACACAAGATGTAAGCTATGATTCTGGGTCTCTCGTGTCATTGTACTTTTAATTTGCTATGGAGTATTTTCTGGCTACTGTTACTCTTTATTCATTCATATATATCCCAGTGTTTGTATTCTCCAGATAAGTGAAAGGAACATTTTAATAAATTATTAGAACAATGTTTTACTGAAGAGCCTTTTGGTAGCAAGCAGAGTCGAACTGTCAGTAATTTTGTATTTACATACTAAACAAACGTTCTTACTATGGGTGCTAGGCTAATCAGCAGTTACCCCCCAAAGAAACCTCTACTTTGATGTAGTGATAGGGGTCCAAACCAAGACAACAAAAAATTAACCCTAGTCCCTCAGGGGGCTGGTAAATAGGCCAACATTTCCATCCTGTAAAAAAAAAAAACAAACAGGTAATTTGAAAGATATGTATCAACCAAGAACCCCACTAAATATTAAAAACATGACGTTGGCGACCTGGACTGTACTGAACATACAAAAGTTAAGTTAAAAGGAAGTAAAGCTGAAATCTAGGCCAAATAAATATTGTCTCAACACAAGGTTTGGCGTCCTTAGTGTATCTTTCCATGATTTGTGCAGTAATCCACAAAACAACTCCTGTACTTTACTTCTGTGTGGAGGTTTCCTGTAATAAAGACCAGTCACTGCTGCTCTCTCTCCTTATGCAAGGTGACAGATCTTGTATTTGCCCCCCTGTTATGGGGGAACCTCCTGGGTCCCGTCCACAGCTCTGCTTGTTGCATAGCCTATGTTCAGCACAGTAATGATATCACCACTACTTTTACAAGGTAATATTGGAGTTTACAAAGGAATTTAGGTTGACTCAAAGTTGAATATTTTTAAATGAAGATTACATACGTATTGGATAAGTGTAACTAAATATAGGAATACCACTTCATACATGGGCCCAATATCTGGCACTAGCTTTGATGAAATATGGGCCCAATATCTGGCACTAGCTTTGATGAAACAATAATTCTCTGATAATGGGTCCAGCCCAGAAAATGGCTGCTCCACTGCAACTCAGATACACTTGAAATACAATTTAGAGACTCCTGGCTTAAGGAAAATGCATACTTGCTCTACATGTGCTCAATTGTCTTTGTATTTAAAAGTCAACTGAGCTTTCACTTAAAATCAGCTAAATACATAAAGGGGGGGGGGGCAGAGAACAATAATTCTCTGATAATGGGTCCAGCCCAGAAAATGGCTGCTCCACTGCAACTCAGATACACTTGAAATACAATTTAGAGACTCCTGGCTTAAGGAAAATGCATACTTGCTCTACATGTGCTCAATTGTCTTTGTATTTAAAAGTCAACTGAGCTTTCACTTAAAATCAGCTAAATACATGAAGGGGGGGGGGCACAGTTGAAAAAACTAAAGTACATGGAGGGGAGGAGATGTGGGGATGGGGAAGTAAGACGTCTGAGCATGTCAATTAGGAGGAATTAATGCTTTTAGTATTAAGTAGGATTAGACTAGTCTTTATTTCCAGGTGGGCATAAACAATCCTGGGTTTTCAGATTTTTAGGAATTATTGTGTGCCTGATATAAATTCTGGCTAACTTTTCAGTGATCGTGAAGTTTTCTATTCTGGTTTTTAACTTTAAAAAAAGGTAATTGTTTGTTTCTTCCACGCTCCTGCAATTTCTGTTGTGATCTTGTCAGGGACTCAACTCCCCCATGCACTAAGGCACTCAAGGTACCTTTCCTAATTGTATGATGGAACAAGAATTTTAGGTTGGAATAAACATAATATTCTGGATAGCTTGTTTACCATGTATGGAGCATATCTCCTGTGAAGCAAGCATTTGAAAGTGAAGTTCCAAAAAGTGAGAAAAAAGGGAGATGTGGGACTCCCACGCCTCCACAAATGTAATGGGCAAACATACTTGCTTTAGGGATTCTGATATTTGTCCATACTAGTTAATCCTGACACGTCATATAATTCTTTTAGCAATTTCATCAAATTGGGATGGAATTTAAAAGGATAGGGACCGATTCGTTGATTAGTTAGTTTTCATTTTTGTCTAGACTTTAGTTTTAACAATCTATGAATGAGAATTTAAAATCCTCTAACAAACTCACTCCCCCACTTTCAATGTCTGCAGGAGGTTATCGTGACAAAAGCTCCAGAGAGATATAGAAGAGAGATATAGAAAAAGTCAAAAGGCAATACAATTCACCACTCAGAACAGATATTTGGCCTTTAAACATGTCATTAGAACTCCTTCAGTTCAAGTTTTTAAGATATGATATATCTTTGCAAACAGAGACAGATGGCAACTATGAGACTTTGATGTAAGGTAATTCTTTATTTACATAAAGGGCAACAGATCCATTGATTAAAACACCAATAAACCAAGCAGAGAAGTTTAAAAGACCTTCTCTATATAATATATGGAGCAATGAAACAGCTTTAATGTGTTTTGTTGTTAAACTGCAGAGGTCTGTTTATGGGCTTTTTTTTCCTACTTTACTTTCTTATGCCTAAGGTACTAACTACAACCTGAGTTGTACACTATGTTAAAGTGTATGTAAAACCCTACAATTAACTTCTCTCATTTGTTTCCTTTTGTTCTGTTAAATATACAATTAAAAGTGATTTTTTTCATATTTGTTATAAGAACAAAAACTTTTTTTTAATCATGCCAGAAATTTGGAGCTATCTCTGAGTAATTAGCCCTCCCAGTGGATATCTTGGGACTACAGACTGGTAGCCTTTATGTTATGGAGATCGCAGAGTAGGTGGGTCTGCGTAGACTGCACAAGGAAACTGGGAAGGGCTGACAACACTTTAATCTACCAGCATGACTTTGGAGTGTGGGAGGAAAACGTAGTTCACGGAAAAAACCCACACAAGAACATGCAAACTCCTTGCAGATAATGATCTGGCCAGGATTCGAACCAAGAACCCCCAGTGCTGCAAGGTTAACCACTATGCCACTAGGCTGCCCACTTGGGGAAATGTGGATAAAAGTTGGGGTAATGTGGACGTATTGCAGAGATTTAATGCATATGCTTTTTTTTTTAAACTTTGCCCTGGCATACACTTTAAAAAGGACAACACTTGCATTAGGAATCTCTAGATGGAATAAAAACCTATTACCCTCTAGGGATAGCTGCTTCCATATGCTACTTACCCAGCGCAAAGCTTGCAGGATCAATGCTTTCAGGCGGTCATTACTATACACCAAATCCTTCTTTAACTTCTCATAGTCTAGGGAAGGTAACAAGGGTACCTCCAGAGGCTTCCTGTATTAAAGAAAAATTTAGCTTTATTAGTTTGAAATTGTGCACATTATTTATATAAAATGTTTGTCAATGGCAGTCTGCACAGAAAGCTCAATTCAAAGCTGATCTGAATTGTGCTGTGAAATCTATTTATTATTGTCAATTTTAAGGGTCTGTGTATGAAACCACTTGCAGTTTGTCCTATTGACAGCCCATGCAGATCAAGTACTAATGCATTCATATATGCAAGTTATTTAGTAATAAATGATTTAGAGTACATACTACGTGACCTGATAATTAGAGCAAAGCAATTAAATTAAGCACAAGACGTAAAAAAGGATGAAAGAACTTCTGTTAAGCCTGAACAGGTGAAACTCGAAAAATTAGAATATCGTGCAAAAGTAATTGCAGTAAGTGCTGCAAAAGGGGCCCAAACCAAGTACTGAGTACATATGAATGCTTGTACTTTTCAGAGGTTCGATATTGTTCTATTTACAATCCTTGTTTTATTGCTTGCATGTAATAATCTACTTTTTTGAGATGGTGGATTTGGGGTTCTTGGGGTTTTCATGAGCTGTAAGCCATAATCATCACAATTATGACAAATCACGGCTCGAATTATCTTGCTTTGCATGTAATGAGTCTCTCTCATATATTAGTTTCACCTTTTAAGTTGCATTAGTGAAATAAATGAACTTTGCACGATATTCTAATTATTCGAGTTTCACCTGTATGTGATAACTGGTCATACAGGTCAGCGATAGCTACTCTAAGTTCAAGAATTATTGCTTTCATTGCATTGTATCCAATGAGAAAAAACTCATACAGGTTTTATCATTTTAACATAGTTTCAAGAGTCACTTTTAATCATTTTAGAGTGCAAGTCTGGGGAAAAAAAACAAAACATCTCTGCAATACTGTACATGCAAATTTTACCATATTTCGCCTATTTACAAAAACTGCAAGTACAGAAAATTACTTGTTTATCCTTCCAGAAATCCATTGAGATCCTGACTTCCTGTAGTGAGCTGACAACACTGCCTCTGCTGCACAGAAATCCTAAGCAGTGTTGTCTCCCCTGCTAGACTATACTTCTCTCCATAGTATAATCCGGAAATGTGCTGTATTCCAGGAGAAAACTCAAGCAGGGGTGACAACTTGTGATTTCTGTAAAGCAGAGACCGTGTTCTCAGCTTACTACAGGACGGTAGGGGCTTCCTGGATTTCGGGCAGGATAACAGGTATTTTTTGTACTAGCAACATTTTTAAATGTGCATGTATCGCAGAGATGAACTGAACATGTTTTGTCCAGACATACATTTTAAAATGTAACGTTTTCATTATAATAATACAAAGAAATTCAGGGATGTTCTGCCATTGTCATGGTCAGGAAGCCTCCCCTGAGCAATGATGTGCTCATCGGTTGCTAAAAAATGGCTGGAGGGGATCAATAGTGCCGTGATGCATGAAATGGACAAACTAAATGTTATCCAGTGAGGGTTTAGATCTACTTTAAATGGCGCAATTTTTTGGAAAACACAATGTTTTGCTCTATTACAAATTACCGCTATTTTTAATATTACTATTTACTATATCTATATCTAGTAACTATTTTCTTCTTGCTGTATCACTATAGCTATATTCAGCAAATATAAATACCGTGTTCTTTAAAGCAGATACGTACATGGGTGCTAATGATGCTCTCAGCATAGAAGATGCCTGGAAAAAAAAAGAATGAATCATGGAAAGATAAATATAACTTTGTAAATGAGAAGGAAAAAAAAAATACATAATGAATGCATGAGGGTAAGAGATATGTAGGGTGGTTCAGTTTAAAAAGACAATGTATGCTTTCTTAAAGAACGAAATGTATGATTCTACCAGGAACAGGCAAAACACACATAAGACATTCAAACCTATGTGAGTTTCATCATGCAACTGTTAATAGAATGTTGCTAATAGTTAATAAGTATATCATTTTTATTAGTAGAATTAGAACATGCCAAACCAAAATGTGAATCATTGCCTTGTCAAAGTTCATGTTAATTTTGTCATTAGTGGAACAATTAGAAGTTCTTAAAATGCAAATCCACTAATTATTTTTTCTTTTTAGTTGGAGAGAGCGGGGAAGGGTTAAAAAAATGTTTTCTTGCTGGCTACATCCCTGTTAAGAAGTCTTTCACTCACTTCCTATCCTGATTAGGGAAATACCCTAGATTGTTAACACCTAAAAAAACTGTCTGTAATTCCACTTTTGTAAAATATTCACTGTATGTAAACTAAAGACACCCACCTTGCTAATGGATGCTTAAGATCACATAAGGAGCAATGTACTTAAAATGATTTCCACATAATATAGTACTAGAATTCTAAAATTAATGTATAGTGTTTATATATTTTCTTGTGTGATGCTCAGGACGGAAAATAATTTTCCATTTCAACCTTTGTAAGTGATTAGCATTTATTGTGGTAAATGTGAAGGTGCAGTGATGACGTATAAGTGTGCATATTTTCATGACCTCCACAGGAAACTCAGTCCGACACTGGGGTCGGATTGTAAAACAGCTGACCCCCCTCCCTGTAAGTTACTGTAATAAGATCACTGCACAGCAGCTTTGCTTTTCCAGGTCACAATACACTGTCCGGTGGGGTCACCAATATGAATACTAATGAATAGGTGGATAGAGGTCAGAGAGGGAGTGTTCATTTACACAGACTGCTTGCAAAGCACAAGGTCGGCCATTTCAAAAGGAGCTGAAGGAGGAGATTAAGAGGACAGAAAAGTAAGTTTGTGTTCAACTGCATATGCCTCCTTCATGTACACTCAGTGTACAGTGCTAGCATAGGTTTTTGTGAAAAAATACCTCCACAAAAGGTGGAAATTATTATTATAATACAGGATTTATATAGCGCCAACAGTTTGCGCAACGCTTTACAATATAAGGAAGACATTACAATTACAATACAATTCAAGACAAGGTCTTTAAATATTGTTATATACTTTTCTACTTTTTTGTTAGGTAAATACAGCTTTTAAAAATGTACTTTATGTATTTTCAGCCACACAGAAGAGCTCAACTCCTTTTTACATGTACACCTGGCTAATCTTGCTCAAAAAGCACCTGTTTAGAGTCCTCAATAGTTGAAGATTACACACTGCTACTCACGAACACTCTGTCAACTGTGTAAATTGGACTGATTGTTAGATGGGTGTTGTGCCACAAAAGGGAAAATCAGGCAAGCCAAGCTAGTGCTCCTTCCCAAGGAGACAGATGTGCTGCTGGAGCAGTGTGTGTAAAGACACAAAAGAAGGCCTGCCTGGCCTTACAGACTGACACCTTGACCAAGCTGACACTTAAGGGAAAGGCTTCAGCCTGTGTTGAAACAGACGGAGAGGCTACACAGACCAAGTAGCCAAGAGGCTGATATTATACTTTTTATCTGTGTGGTGTACAGAACCCCTGCAAGAGAAAAACCTGATGTAAAGGTATTTTATTGACAAATAAAAGTGGGCAAGTCTGCTACCTATTATAATATGTTAAATATGTATTATGCTATGTATTAAATGTACCGTATTTTGCGGTCCATAAGACGCATCGGACCATAGGACGCAGGGAGGTCCGGCGCGCCTTATGGAGCACTCGACAGACTGTAGCTTCTGACACAGCTTCTATGACAGAAGCTGTGACAGAAGCTGCAGTTAGTGACCGCTCAGACAGGTGGCGCTTTGATTACACTGTGATTACATCGCCACGGTCTCAGTGATCACACAGAGCAGACGAAGAACCTCCGTCCCTCGTCTGCTCTATGGTGATCTCGATTGTCGCCGCCGCTCGGCTTTAATGCGAGTGATCTCATTAGATCGCTCGTATTAAACGAACAGTGGCTCCTACTACTCGCCCGGCGCCCGAAACTGCATGTCTCGGGCGTCGGGTTCCGCTCCATAAGACGCAGGCACATTTCCCCCCTCCTTTTGTGCGTCTTATGGAGCGAAAAATACGGTATATATACATAAATGTAAAAAAAAAAAAAAAAAGGAAGAAGAAGAAGAGGTAGAAGGATATAAAATATCAGTTCCCCCTGAAAAAATATGTAATGCTCACCCTAAATAGGAAGAGGCTGTTGTTCTAAAGAAATAACTGTGTCATAGCTTTGCCTACTTGCAGAATAAGCAACGGAAAAAAATAATAAAGTGAAGCATAAAGAGGAGTAAAGTTTAAAAAGAGAAATGTTGCTTTATTCTAAGAAGAATGTTTTGTACACCCTTCAACATCAAGGAGGCACTTTAAGACACCGACAGTAATGAAACAGGACTTCCCGCTCAAAAAACCCCACCACCTTGAAGTGGGCTATTTTTAATAGACTAGTAAAATTAGGGGGGTGGGTCAGGGGCTGGGGAATGGGGTTGTTTTATTTTAATTTTTTTTAACTTATTCTTTTAAACATGTCTAGTTATGCTGTGATAAATGGCTGTCAGTTCCAGTTTGTTTTATTCGTAACCTACTCATGGCTATAAGGCATATGGCCTGCTACCTGCATAGTTTAAGAATATTTACTAGTATCTGTGCCTGGTTGTCTTTGCAAAGAATGATGCAAGTATTTTTTGTTTTCCCTTATATTTTCACAGAAAAATGTAAAAGAAAACGCGAAGCATTATATACAGGATTAGATATCTATAAATTGCAATTTTTTGACAAATAAGACAGTGCACAGATAAACATTTCAACTCTGTAGTTCTCCGTCTTCCAGCATCTACATTTAGGGGTACTAAATAGCAGGGCCTTTTATTTTAAAGCAAGGTTTCTTTTAATCTACTGTATGTGGCAATAATAGAAGGCTTATAAATCAGAAATGTTTTAGTAAATTTTTAAAGAGATTTTAAACAAAATTTGTTTATAAATTTCTAAATAATTTATAAAATATGGAAAACTCAATAGTTAAATTTTAAATGATGTACATTTTAGAAATCCAAATGTAAAAATATTATGTAAATAGTATTTCATAACTATACATTTTATGCACTTTGCAACCTTTTCCTGAAAGCCAATATTAGATCATGATGTTTAATAAAGTCACACCTTCCTGCAGCAGCTCTGTGAATAGCAAAGAAGTCAGTCTTATCTCATCTATACTTATAGGACAATTTAGATTATGGATGTAGTGATGCACATTCATCTAGAAAAACAAATAACTATATTTTAGGATCATAAATATCTGAATAGGTCACAATTCTACAGAATTCTATATCCGAGTTTTAATTAGAAAAAAATAAATAAATATGGTGAATGCTGCCGAGTACCATCTAACGGAAAGACAGGAATCTTCAATACGAGAAGCGCTGTGCTAACCTTAGTAACGTGTGTGACAAATTTCAAATGGTTTGGTGCAGTCAGTCGATTGTGAGCTAAGGTGTGTTTTAAAAAGTGCTAAAGAAACACACAAAATGTTAAAGTTAGTTTATGGAGTTGCTGCAGTGACTATGAAGACAATTTACAAGTGGTTCGAGCGATTTTAGAATGGTTGTGAATCGGTTGAAGAGGAGGAGAGATCAGGTTGTCTTTTAACATCAAAAACCCAAGACCATGTTGAAAGAGTAAGCTAAATGATTTGATCACACAAGCGGATAACTATTAAGGACATTTGTAAAGATCTGAACATCTCTTAGTCCTGGTTCACACCTAGGCGTATTGCATATGCGCGTCTGTCGCACGTTTTTTTAACCGCGCTTCGCGGTAAAAAAATCGCGCGACAAACGCGCGTTTCCGAGGGCTACTTGGCTGTATCCCAATGGAAACGTGCAACAAAAACGGCCCAAAGTAGTACATGTACCTTTTCAGGCGTGGGCCGTTTTGTAGCGCGTTAGGGACGGGCTGAAATACGCCAAGTTGTGAACCAGACCCATTGAAAACAATGGTATTGCCATGTTTGAGCGTCTTGTAGAGCGTTCGTCGAGCGTAGAACGCGCTACAAAACGTTCAGGTGTGAACGAGGGCTTATGGTTCCGTTCCAAATATTTTAACCACAGATTTGAATATGAGGTGAGTGAGTGTGAAATATGTTCTGCACTTTTTGAATGTGGAACAAAAGCAACAGCGTTTGTCAATTTCATGGCACCATGCACTTTCTGGCTCTTCCCCAAAGTCAAAATGACCATGAAAGGTAAATGTTTTGAATTGATTCAGGACATCGAGGAAGCCACGACAGCGCAACTAAAGACACTCGCGAAAGAGGACTTCCCGAACTGCTTCAGAAAGTGGCAAGAATGATAGGATAAGTGTGTTCGAAGCAATGGGGTGTATTTTGAGGGGGATTAATGACAATATGTCTTTTACTGTAATTATTTTTTTTATTTAAAATTCACCTTATTTTTTATCACACCTCGTATTGTACTGCAAATAACAACTGGGTTAAGCAGTATTTCATAATATATTGCTGCATATAGAGCAAGAAAACTTTGAAGATATCTCAAGGAATTAAACAGGTCAAGGTGTATCACACTCAATGTCACTAATGTACCTGGTAGTAGCAGGACACACTGTAACTGATTGGTATTTAAAGATGGGTTAGTTGGAATTTTTGATAAAATGAAAAATGCCCCATGTACAGGGCCAAATAACCAATAATGTCCAAATGAACGCTGTCTGTTTTGCACAAGAAAAACAACTTCCACTTTGATCCTTCATTCTGCTTTACAGTAATAAGAAATAAGCCATGAGCAA